ACAAGTTGAAATTTATAGCAAATACTTGGGTAAATTTCATTTGGTTATTGTTTGCTGGCAATAGTTTATGATGATTATTTTGGTCAATGCTACATGGCTGGATCATTATGGGGACCATGTGATACAGATCCATTGTTATTGTAAAACCGGAGGTAAATTACACATTAGCGAACAAAACTCATTAAATTGTATAAATTATATGATCGCTCTGAAACGATAAGCAAAATATACAATAAACGTTAAATTAATTACCAAAAGGATGTAGAGATGCAAAACCATCCTCACATACATCCGATGCATGCATATTGTATGTCGAAAGTAAATACAGTCCATATATTTGTGAGTGTGGGGTGTTGTTCTTTTGAAATAACTGCTGCATGCAGAGAGATAAGACAAATACTGACGCTGTAGAGTGATGTGGCATTGGTATTGTGTTGTAACGGAAACTACAAATACATACACGCAAATAAAGGGTATACGAGACATTACAGGACTAATGTGAACATTTTAAAGGAATGTGATTGTTTGCTAGTAAATATATAACTCTTGATTGGCTTTTAACATTGACATGTGATCATATTTTTATTTGGAATAGTTTCACAGGTTCCACGGCAATCGTAGGTTTACTGACTGCCAAAATCACCATTAACCTAATCGCGTGAAAGCTACTATGAAAAAAAAAAACATTCTCCAGAGGAGGCCTCCACTTCGTATATAGTAATACAATATGGTATTCGAAATTTCACGGAATTACCAATATGGCCTCGTATTTCCCATGTTGTACACATACAAATAATTATTATATGTGATTATGTTTGGATGTTGATTGTGCTGAACATTATTGTTTCCGTTCATTTCTCCAACCAGACCAGACCAACGATTAACGAATATTTTGAAACAAAACAGAACAGCGAAATTATCCCATTAATATCAGATTAATGTTCCTCCAAGGCATTTAACATAAATTCGTATTGTTATAAAAGAGAATTGGTAGAGCATTCCAAGGTTAGCGTAGCATAATTTACAAATAATTTTGCCAGAACAGGCAGGAAAAATAAAAAAAAAAATCAGACCGTAAACGATCTGATAATTCAATAATAGGATATATTTTATTTTAATATGTTAGAAGCCTGATTCTTCAAACAAAGGGCAACTGACTTCAAAAATCTACTTAAAAAATTTATTTCGTTTGCAACTCATCCCATAAATAAAAATGGTTCACGTATTTTGTTTTCTCTGGCAATCTGAGTTTTTGAAGGGTAGTTAATAACTTACGAAAATGGACCGAAGGCTATATAATTGGCTTCGGTCCATTTTCGTAATTTAGTAGATAATAGTCGTATTTTCAAGGTGAATAAAAAACATCTGCCCAGAAAATTAAATATAAGCCAATCCTTTTTTAAATAGTCGCGTTAAGATTCAGTATGGTGAAGTTCTTAGGCCAGTTTTCCGTCCGTGGTAATATGCTACGCAATTTTTTACAGAGCATAAACAACTGATTAGCTTCCTAACAATTTACAATAACATAGCATCCATTTAACTGTTCTGATCGATTTTAGAAATTTTGAATGCACACCACATGGTGTATTCGGCCGGTCAAACTCAATGTAATTTTTACTTTATTCAGCTAAAAATTAGATTTCCTATTTCTTTATTCCGTATAAATCCAATTTTCAAAAGTTTATTTAGACTTCATAGCCAAAATACCAAATTTGTTGTAATACTCAAAGAAATGGGATTGTGGTCGTATTAGGATTTAAAAAATAGGGAAACAAACATTTACCACGAAGACAATTATGTTTTAATTTCTTTTCTGTGATTTCGACTTTAATTTATTTTTAAAGGTCTATTTAAAAATCGAAATACGAATTGTGTATCCATAAATTTAATTGCCTCTTTAAACTATAATCCGAAACCCAGGATTTCCAATTATTAAATCATACAAACCGCCCCTTATGATTTTCCTACACGAATATTCATGATCATATATATTCTGCATTGTTTTTGCTTAAATCCAATAAAATTTTCAACACTTGATCTTATTACGAAAATAATGTTCTATTCCTTATCCATAACAACTTCAGAAAGGTCATGATGATTAGATTATGGTAACGAGTACATTATATGGGAATAACAAAAAAATACCAACTCACACATACTCAATAACAATATTATATACTCAATAGCTGATTCACATACTCGTACATACACAATTTCCGTTTAAGACCAAGGAGACATGACAACGTTATGCTGGCAAATGGTTAGTACGTGTAAAATTGGCTTGGAGGACACAAGTATATCCTTTTTGCTATGTTTGGCATTTTCATTTTTGTTGTTTTGTTTCTTTCTTTTTCTTTTGGCAACTTTATAAAATGCAATCTATTGGAATGTGATTTTATTAGAAAGAAATCTACCAACTAGACGAAGTCACCAAAAGAAAATCGAGCAAATCATCAGGAAGTAAACTGAAGAATTTGGGGAAAAAATAACAATGATTTTTTTCTTCTAGTATTTTCTACGTCCATTTTTGATTTAATTTCCGTTAACGGAATTTAGTCTTTGTTAAATTTATCTTCTTAGCCAGACATGCATATTTGCAAACTATAGTTTTCTGTGGGTACTTAACTATTTTAGTTTATTACGAAGGAGAAAAAAGGAGAGCCAATAAAGAGATTGCAATTTTGTGGTTTAAACAATGGAAAGGAGAAAAGAATAAAAAAAACTTAAATTTTAAATGCATATACACTCTTATATATATATATATATATATATAAAGGATATATACGAGGAAATTTCCTTTTTCGAAGAAATAGATGTTTTTGGTTCAGCAAATTTAAAAAATTATATAGACATAGGTATATGGCATCAATATCAATATATCCGTTGTTATTTGGGACAGGTAAGCCAATTTTTTTTTTATTAATTTTCTTCATTTTTTTAGACCATGACTCCTGGAATTAAAATTCCCCACCTAACGATAACTCAAACATTTAATTTACTCGGTATAAAATCACTTCTTTATTAATTACACTCTATCTGCTCTCTCCATGCAGTGTCCTTAAATCCTTATAAATGTCAATAGTTTATGGCTTTTAATTTTAGATCTCCCATTCCTTTCTATCGGCCGCAACCCATAATCACACACATCCACTAATGCGAGAATGCATGCACCATGCAGTTGATTCGATAATTTACCACAAGGATGGTATTCTCGCTTGGTGCATTGTGTAGAATTATACAGAGGCGTAGGTTTCATTTTCACACATTCAGATGATGCGTCGTAAAATAAAACCCCAAAAGTACCACATCTCTGATAACACACAAAATGGTTTGGTATGGCACCAAAGTACCAAAATAGTTCGTACAAATTGTAATAATGTTGCAATTTATGGTTGTTTACAAATTTATTGAAACCATTTGAAGATGTTTATTTGTGCATCACTTATGCCTGAAGTGACTGAGCACCAGGAGATACCAACCAGCTAACAAACATATGAATGTGAATTATCATCTATTTGCAGGAGAAGATTATTTGAAGACCACTGAACAATGGCTTTAATTTGCGCTGTATTCATTTAGGTTCATGGAATGTTCTCAATTAGATTTTAAACTGAATTTAAATTGAATTTAAATTGAAATGGGAACATATTTTAAAAGAAACTAAAAATAGATAAATATTTAAAACATTATTTTGAAATCTTCAAAAACACAAAATAAATTCCACATAGAATAGTGTACCAGTTAATAGTTATAACTAGATATGCTGCATACTTTTAGGCACTATAAATTTTATTTAAGTTATAGGTATTCAGTGTTGTGATAGAAAATGCCCTACATTATACAAAGTAAGCTTAATCCCCCCTACTATTTTATTAAGAAATGTAAGGAATGTTATTTGAATTTTGCGAACATCCCAAACAAATTATAACAAATTCTTGAAATTTCTTTTAAATTAATATTTAAAAAAATTCTCAAAGGAATTTAAATACTGAACGAAATTCTATTCTCAATATAGGTTTTTTCAAATAGCACTCCCAATGAAACAAAATAATTCTCACAAAATAATTCTCGTAATGAAAATAATGTAACTAAATCTCTGAGTGTATAATCCGCACATCCTTAAACTTTGTATTATCAAATTGTTGAAAAGAACCTCATTATTTCCCACACCTAATTAAGGCTATAGCATGTGTGTGTGTGGGTAAAAATTATGGCAAAATTAAATGTAGCGTTAACAATTCACTCATAAATTTATCACTCATTCCCCATTTTAAATCATTATTTCATGTCCATCTTTGTGCATCTTCGCCTAACCTCCACACACCCCGGGAACATTGACACAACAATAGAATCAGTTTTGCTTTTGTTATTTCGCTTTTTTCCGGTCGAGACTTTTTCCCCAGATGTGCGTGTCTTCCTCTCCATCAAACGAACTGAAAATACTTAACACTGAAAAGATGAAGAGAACAGCAAAGATTTATTAGAATGTGGATGCAAACCGAAATTCCCCCTTGGATCCTTAACAAAAGAGAAAGCGTAAAAATTCGTAACGAAATTAAAGTTAAAAATTGTCTGCCTGTCCGTCCGTCTGTTGTTAGAGCAACGATGGCGGCTACTTGACTATGCTTAAATGCCCCACACTTTTAGCCAACATAGACATCGCTTCTCCTCCTCGTGTCCATTGTCGTCGTTTATGCAAAAGAAAATAAGCATTAAAAAGTTTACAGACAATGTGAAAAGGAAAATTTGGCAAATGTTAACGAAAGGAAATCTCATTTGAATTATAACTTATTTACAGAAGAAAAGAACTTGAAATCGCCTTTTTGTATTCAAGGACATTTTAAAATATGCCCATTCCATTGGTCACACGTAACTGTGTTGGCATTGTAAATATTGATCTTTAATTGAACCAAGGGCGTGCGTATTAATTAAATATACACACACTTCATATTATCCGTTTTTTTCTAATGATCTGTTATTTTGTTGTCTTTCATTTCCAGAACTTTATCGTACGCGGTTCAAGCCAACCCAACACCATGGCAGTTTCAGTGCGCCTACCACCCGATACTGGACCATATATCGAACACTATTTGATACAATCCAATGAAGGCATCCTCTGTCTGGAGAGTTCTCGTTTTAAATTCGATTCGATACCCTCGTTGATAGCTCACTATGCTCAGTGCTGTGATGAGTTGCCCGTTCAGCTGGTCTTGCCACGGGCACTTAGAGAGGCTAAAAATCGTCAACAGCTATCATCACTGGCATTGTTGGGTCAAGAATTCTGGCGTTATCCCATGTCTTGCCCTAAAGAAAAAGAGGCTACTTTTCTCGACGCCAAATCGCCGAATTCTATCACCGAAACAAGCGGCATTGGCACAACCATTTTTAGCAACTCGGGTGGCAGTTCCAGTGCAACGGGTGTCAATCAAAACAGTAAAGTGTTCAGTCCCATTAGCAATATAACTAGTATTTTTAGCCAGGCTGGAACACCCTCAGATACCACATCCAGTATGAGTTCGTTTACCACCAGCGGTGGTCAACACATGCAGCTAATGAGTCCCGAATCCGTAGACTCAGTTATTCTCACAATGTCTCCCGTTGACATCAACAACCAACGGAATGGCATTTTAGGTCTTGGCAATAATCCAGCGGACAATTTCAAGACTTCCTCGAACAATCTATCCACATTCAAATCGAATGCCCTGCAAAATTCTCAACAAAATAATTTTAAGAACTCAACGAAAAATATAATGGAGCAAGAAATACGAACACAAAGACCCAAGCCGCCGAACACCTTGAATTTGGACTTGCGAAAGCCAGCTCCAGCTCCACCAATGAGATGGTCCAAACCGCTTTCACCCAACAGCCCACAACCTCCAACGGACATAAATGGTCTGAATGCTGCCAATAATTTTACCGTAACCACTACAGTGACATTCTCCGTAGACAACGCCAATGCTCCCCAATTCGTTGAAGTGACAACACCAGCTGCCAATAACGCATTGACATCGGTCATTAACTCCAATACCACTTTCCAAACATTCTCCAAACGCCTATCGCCCGAAGGTGAATGCAAAGACACATTGTCGTCACAGGGTTCGTCGGGCGGTAGCAGATGGCAGTCTCACAGCAGCAAAGACTCGAATAGTAGCCAACGAAATATACTATCGCCAAGTACACCCACAAATGCCACTGCTGGTGGAAAATCTCGCAAATCAAAGTCTCGAAAGGAATCTAAACATTATCAGGAATCGGATATTTTGGAAAGTCCGGAAATTTATTGTCGCAGTACTTTGCACGATAAAATCAGCGATTATGAAGACTTGTGGTCCCACGATCCCAGTGACAGGACTGGGCTTTTGACCAGCTTTAAGCCACCACCAGATGGTCAGCAGGGAAAGAGACCCGATTTATTAGCGGAAACACGTAAGTCTTATTCCAGACATTGTGATCTTCTTGTTCTAACCCCCGATTTTCTTATTTTTAGCTTCAGTTACCTCTTCCTCGAATACGAATACCACAACACCTGCCGTAAACTCTTGCCCGCCTCTATCACACAATGCCGACCCGCTTACCACAATGTCTTCCGAGACAACTTCAGACACTCAACAGTTATTGAAATTTTCCGAAGATTCCAAGCCTCGTTCGAGAGCTGGTCTTATCTTGCCCGGTCTCATGAGTCAATCCCTATCCGAAGATCAAGTCTTCAAATGTGAAACAACAGAGGGTGATACAACACCTACTGCCCAGACCCCAGTGTCACGCAGTAAACAGGGTAGTCCTTTCTATGCTGAACCCGCTGATGCACTGAAACAAGCTGGTCTAACTACCGCCAGTATTTTAAGACGTTCCCAACGTGGACCCCTACTACCCGCAAATCATCGCCATTCGGAACCACCAAAAGGTGGATTTGTGCGCACACCAATGTGTCCACTATTGGTACCGGCTGAAATAGAAAAAATCGCTGGTAGTCTGGACGAGTTGAAAAAGAAGCAACAGCAACAATCACAGCAGCAGCAACAACAACAACAACAGACCCAGCCCCAACAGCAGCCATCAAAAAGAGCAAGAGGACGATTTGAACAATGGCAATTGGATAGCAGTTGGGAATTTATGGCAAAGGGCGATGATAATAATGGTGAATACGGAGATTATGATTCGGCTGAACAATGGAAAGATGTCAATGCTTCGGACAATCCGAACAAAGAGAATTCTCTAAATCGTGAGGCCAACAAAGAAAACAAACAGAAACCCTTGACAATACATCAAATTATTGCCAAGAGATTACCTGATCTGAACTTGCCGGAATTAGTGAGATGTTCTACGCCACCGCAACAACAACAACAACAGCAGCATCAACAACACCAACAAAATGGCAATAATAAACATCTCAACGAATTGAATGGCAGTCAGAAATCCTTTGAATCGTCACAAAATAACACTTGTCGACTCTCTTCGTACGACAATGTGGAACGTAACTATGCCCTTAGCCAATGTTTCTTTAATGGCTTGGATTCAGCGCAATCAGATGATGGTACAGTATTCTCAGAACCATGGGATTCATCACAATGGGATTCGTTTATGCCACATGATGGTAGGTTTTGATGTGAGATCGCATCAAATTAACAGAATCTAATCGGTGGTTTTCTTCTCTTTCAGATGCCACTATTAATTCGGATACCATACATTTGTCGAAATGTCGACCACTACTTTCCGAAGATGATACCATTATCGAAGAGCTCAGTACCAAAGAACTTAACAATCAAGACACATTGAAGCCGAAAAAGACAAATAGCAAACATGCCACAATTCTAAGAAATCCTAGTATACGAGATCGGGAGATTTTATGTAAGTATAAAACTAAATATGGGCGTTATAAAATAAGTTATTGCAGAGAGAGGATAATTATATTGAAGATATAACTAAATTAGAAGTTAGATATTGAATTTTGAATCAAAGTTACTGTCGATAAGTTGTAAGGAAGGATTTAAGAAAGTGTTTTAAGGAGTAAAACAGGTTAACGACTTTCGCCAATATTTTACAAAATTTCTCATATAAATCTATTAGTATTGTTTCGTAATAGATCGCATTTTTATAGCGTTCATCAATTTTTCCAGTAGCTATAATTACTTTGTTCCGTGAACAATAGAAATTTTATTTGTTTACAATTTCAATGTTATTAAAATAATGAATATAAATTCTATTATCAATTAGCTATAAATCATCAACACTTGCACTGATTTTGTTTTGTTTTAAAGCTTGCAATAACTACGTCATTTATTAAACTAGACGTAGCGGCACCAAAAAGGCAACATCGTCCAGGGTTTGTTTATGGTTTAAAGTTCAATAATGGCAATCATATTTTTGTATCCAATGTTAAATGATATACAAACATTGCATAGTTTTAGGCGTGTCAGATAGAATGTGGAGCAATTTAAATTGTATACGACTATTTCCAGTATCTTTACACTATACAAAGTTTCATGTAATAAATGCAAATAAACGATATAATTTGGAAGTTCGAAAAAATGATCGAGAAAATATTTGAAAATAAGTCAGAAAATACTCTTTAATTTTATGTTAATAGAATAGTATACAGAATTATTATCTCAAGTCAATGTGGTTATGTGAAAAATCTACATCAACCAATTAAACATGTTCAAATATATTAGCATTTGTTGGCATTAAACTTCTGACTAAAAATCCGCTAACCGATGTCAAATTATTTAAAAATCGATAATTTGAGGAATTTTTATGCCCAATAGGAAGGACATTTATAATTGTATTTCGTTAGCTAAAATGCAAAAAGGCGTAACTAACAAAATCATAATTGTGTAGGAGAAGCAAAAAACAGTTTTGAATGAAAACTATAAACATGTCATGTGAAATGAAAAGTATGCCCGGCAGGGTAATATTGCATATGACGAATAATAGACTATAATTTTATTAACAAATTTAGTTATTTAGTTTAATGACAGTCATAACAATTGAGTAAAAATTTGATTTTTTTTTTTTTTTTTTGATAGTTACGCCTTTTTGCATTTATCAAATAAACCCACTTGTAGTTACGTCTTTTTGTTTTTTGTTAATAGAAGCTCCTTTTTTGACCGCAGACGTGTAAAACTTTGTCAACACATGTAGTTTATTGACATTTACAATATTCATTCAAAAAGTCAGTTTTCAATTTTTTGTTAGTTACGCCTTTTTGCATTTTAGCTGACGATTTGTATTTTTGAGTACACTTTTTTGTCTTTCAATGTTCTGACATTTTCACGTTTAATTACAATTTAAATATAAGAATTTTATATAAACATATATCTCCAGGGTTATTGATAAAAAAACATTTTTAGAATTTGCGAACATTTTTTAATTACTAACTTTATTAGCTAGACTAGACTGTGAGACTATTCAGGTGCCGAACTTTTTTAAACAGTGTAATTTTTTTTTTAGACTGATCACCATGTTACATTGTAAATTGTAAATCTATAAACAGCACAAAATTGACAATAAATTATTATTAGCAAACTACCCTTAGTCACAAATATTTCTATTGAGGTAGGAACATTCATTACTCTACTCTACCCTTTGATAAGCCCTTACATTGTAACGCATTAAAAACAAAAAAGTGGAATTTATGTTATCAGTCGAGTGATCTTACAAATAAGGTCGTACCAAGATAATGGCCTACTTTATCAAATCATTGCGGAGGTTTGTTTTTTTTTTTCTAATTATTATTTACACTGACTGATTGACTAGCTAGCTAACTGGCTGACACATGCCAGAACTGCTAGAAAAAAACATTGTAATGTAGTTTTCTTTGAACTGATTAAATATTAGCTAATGATCAACTACATTCGCATACATTAAGCGGTATATATTATGTATTGTGATTTATCAGACCTAACCAGTTCTAACCGGTTACACAATGCAAATCCGCATACTGAAGCGGATGATTTTAATGATGATGATGAATATTATGTGAACTTTATGGACCTAATTATAGTTTTGCCTTAACACACAAACGTTTATGATACACCAGTAGCAATGTTGGCTATCGCAGTGTGTGTGTGTGTGTGTTTGTATGTAAGTGGATACAATGAGGCAGGCACTTGATTGTTTGATTCTCAAGGAATGTGTAATGAACACATACATACAATGTAAAGCTCGCATACATACACACAAATACGCATGGCCATCCATCGATCCATTCCGCAGAAAATATTAAAATTGCGACGCAATATAAATGAGTCGTAGTGATCACCACTGTCCGCCACACTTCACTGTCCCCCTATTCTCCTTTCCAAAACTGATAAAAGAAAAACTATGAACGTCGGCGGCGATTAGAAAAATATTGAATGTGAAAACAAGAAAACGAAAAAAATATCAAACTTTGTAATTGTTAAATTCTCGTGCTTGTTGTGTTAGGGCGCACGAGCCAACCGATTAGATTTGAGACCATTCGGACACACACACGCACACGTTCGATCAACATACAACATTATCAGCATCAGACAGACTGACGGACGACAGCACACAAAGTGTGTCGATGTAAAATTGCTATTGATTTTTTCAGATGGTGTCGATGATCGTGATTATTATCTCTTTGGGGTTTTTTGTTTGAAAATAGTGATGAACACAAAACTATAATTTTCATCACACCGCTATTGTTGTTATTGTTTTTTACATTAGTGCAGAAAAATACAGTAAACGTCAATCATATTTGTCATTTTTTTCAATAAAATTGTTTTCTTTCTTCTAAAGATCGTATTTTAGGTCATGGTTTGTAGTTTGGAAAAATATTATTGTTATTATTTTATTTAAAATTCAATCGATAATAATAGCATAAATAACAAATACACAGCAGGAAATAGAAATGAAATAATAAATACAATTGAATGGATTTGGCAGCACTTTTCATATTGTATTTATATTATGTTGGCACCACGTCAGTTTTGTATTATTTTTATATCTTTTGTAATTTTATATAGACAAATCTGAGGATAATAAATTTTAAACCATTGGCAATTTCCCAGTTAGATGTTATTTTTAGAAATATCTAAAAGATCTCCAGATATTCTTTCATCTATCAGTTATGACAATACATCTTTATTTTGATAAGTTCTATCAAAATCATAACTAAAATGTCTTACAGTGTACGAGTTTAAACATCAATAAATACAGATCAAAATCAGAATAATGAAATATACATTTGAAATGACGCTATTGTTTACAATCATGACTTTAATTAATATACATATGTACATACAAAACTATGTTGATGTGTACATATTTAGTTCAGCTAACACGTTACTTTAGAAGAAGACAAACACGAGATGTTCACATTCAATGCTGAGAATTAAGCATAACGTTTGGTCTCATGATTAACACAGTCAGTACTTATTTAACAAATATTTATATACATTCTACAAATTATATTTGTAGAAGTTTCTACTTCACCCGATTTTTATAAACAATTTTATTGGGTTTTAGGAGAGTTAGCTTATATTTATGGTGTATTATTTTAAAAAGCATGTCATATGATTTATGTCATGTTTACATTATTGTTGGATGGATTAAATTGTCATTTAAAAATTTTATGTTATATGCAAATTTTATTAGCATCCTCTGATCATATCGTATATGTGTTATTTTACAATTTAACCAATTTATTTTTCAATTAAATAAATAACATTTATTTTTGTTATTTGTATTTTGCCTTGTAAGGGCAGTGATCGCTTGAAAGTAATTTTTAAGTGATTATTTATACTTTTTCGAGTCGAAAGACTAGAATGAAAACAAATGTCGAACTTTGACAAATTTGAATTTAATTCGCATATGCAATTTTGGCTTTGTACCCTTTAACTCGACAGAATATATAATGTATTATCTTTTGTAAGCTGGTCAAGAAAACCAAGATTTGTATCACAACCTAAAATGGACTTAAACCACTTTCAAAATAAACGACTCAAATAAATCCTAATAGAAGATTTTAACCTGGAAAAAAGTTCTGAAGTATATGCCGTTTAAGATCATGGTTTCAAATAAATCGGGATTTAGGAAATAAATGGAGATAATTATTTTATAAATTTAGAGTGTAGATTCGCTTTTACGTGTTTTCCACAGCCAAGTAACATTTTAAAGTTGTAAACTTCTATAATAATTTTTTTCAGACCCCACTTATATTTCCATATACATATACAATGTATATTTACCCTGGTATTTCTAACTGATTTATTTTGTCATTTCGATAATCCAAGAGAGGTACCTTTACATTATCACGGTTAATTAATTGATGTAAACACACAAAAGATAAAGATGCCAGTAGTGGTGGGAATATCAACAACTCCCACTATAAGCATTAACTGCTCTGTGTCGTATATTCTAAAAGTTTTGTTTGCAATTAGTACTTAATTTTTTGATATATTACATTTAAAAATGTGATTTCAAATTGACCTTTTATATTCACACACACACACACTTCTAAAACAAAGATCAAACATTCTGATAAAAATAAACCTCGATATAATCATATAATGATACATCACGTTGTAGTTCCATTGTTGTAACCTAGTTGCTGGGCTAATTATTCATAGTTAATGTTTTTATGCCGTTACAGTATTTACACATTTTATTCTAGTAAATATTTATCTAACAAAATTTATTAGGATTTATTGTATAAGAAGGGACTTTAGTTAGCGTATGTGTGTTTGTGTGAGAGTGTCTCTATGTCAACGTTTTACCTTCATTAGAACTAATGCATGTGAGTTTATGTGTAAAACTACTAAACACTGCGATTCAAGCGTACGACATTTTTACATACATATATGTAAATACAAAAAAACTGTTGTTCTGGGCCCAAAGAATTCGTTGAACTCGAATAAAAGTAAAACTGTTGTCTCGACAAATGTATTTCTTTTATTTTGGAGTCATTACAGAATGTTTGTATTCTTATCAGAACGGCAACAAGAATATTTCTTTATAGGCAGAAATACAGCTGACATTACCTAAAAACTCATAAAAAAATCACGCATTGTTTGCGATAAGATAACTCGACCATACGTAATTTGACCAAAGTTTCAGGCTCTTATATAAAATGTTGATATGCAAAAAAAAAAACAAAATTTATTAATTTTTACTTCCTATTTGGAAAAACCAATTGAAAAATAATTTTGACTTGCTTATTGAAAGAAAACAAAAATATAACCCCTAACCTCAAACAATTTTTTCCGAAAAATATTTGTTTGGGTAAAAAACTCACACACATATTCCATGGAAACAACAAACAAGGATCTGACTCTGTACAATAAAACATCTGTTTCCAATTGCCAGTAAATTTTTTGAAGCGATCGATAAGAAAGGCACACACGCATAAATACAAAAACAAGTCTTGTTTGATCAAAAAAATATGTAAACAGTCGACTGAGATGTTTGTTTACATTCGTAACATACAACTCCTTCCTTTATCCTTTGCCGTTGTAAATATATCCGTCAGCAGGGTTTCAAGAAATATAAAAAACATATCCGCCAAGGCGCCAAATTTAATTGAATTACAAAAATAGAAACCTCCGCAGTTAGCGAGACAACATTTCGATTTTAAATATAAGAAAAAATCAGTAAACAGTAACTGAGTTATCGTTCTCTAAAAATGTATGGGTTTCTAAATACAAATATATCTCGGACTTATTCCTATCCCATACGATTATCAAAATCGCAGAAACAAACAATTTTACCTTTAGGGGGATAAGTTCGTTGAAATCGATTTATTTTAATATTTATAAATAGTTTAGAAATATTCATATATGTTGAATATTTTCTTATATATTATTGCATTGTATTTTGGGTTGCCAAGACTTTTTCCTACGTTAATTCTAGTTGTAATAATAGTTTATTTCCAAAACCGTTAAACCTCACTAAAACAAACAAACATCCCTGCTGTTATCGGAAATTCTGACAAAAATGTTTCGATGGTTCTCAATTATTACAAAAACCTTCAAGAATCTACAAAATTTTTAAAACTGTTTGCTGGAATATTATTTCAGTACCTACTATTCATCAAAATTTAAGATAACACAAACCAACATCTTCTCTGTATGCAAGTGTTGCTCTAGAAACCTGACCGACTAAAATTGTAACCAAGATGGTCGAATTTTGATATTTCCGCATTCTGAAGCGGATTTGAAAATTTTTTCTTTAACTAGTTTTGTTTTGTTGTCTAGTAATGTTCTGTAATGTTCATATTTTAAACATACAAAAATTAATTATTTTTACAATAATATAAAATTAGTATTAAAATTATAAAATTAGCAATTTAGCACAGAACAGTTTGTTGTATACCAGCTTCTACTATATGACTTTCAACTTTTAACAATGCAATTTAATTATTTCCATCTTCTTTATCTAAAATATTCAAGTAAAAATAAATATTATTTATATATCAAATGTCATATACAGAAAAAAACACACACACAAATAATATTACAAATCAACCACACAGAACAAAGAGTATGCTAATGATTCATTCATCAAGTGTATTCTATTATTCACTGATATTTTCAAACAGTAATTCAGCCACTGATCGTAACACATATAAGCTCTGATTCGATTAACTTGTATACAATGATAATCGGTAAATAATTCTTACAACGCAGAAAACTTATGTATACTTCCGGTTCCTATGATTATGTCTCCTTGCCGAACAAAAATAGAACTTTATTGTGCGTTGTGTAAATACCCCCTCTCACTCTCAAGGTATTGTGAGAAAATATAACATCCTTGTCTCATTCATTCAACCTTGTTTAGATGAACTTTACTTTTTGTATTTGGAATAGAAATATGCACACCCATACATAGAAATCAAATATGATGATGCAATCATTCATAAATATTAACTAAGCAGATGTCCATCCATCCATCCACCCATCCATTATCTATCGATCGATGTAATCGTTTTTCAAATATTCTCTGTACACATTCTCTCTCTCAGAATCTTGACATGTTGTTCTCTTCAGATGCATTTAACCATCCTTTCCCATGGTCGTCTTAAAAGAAAGTTCGGTGATGTTCCTGTCAAACATTACTGTACTTTAGAAGATAACATATCCATCTATGCTATGTTGTTTCCAGAGTTCTGGCAGTGATCACCAAATCTCTCTTGTTAACATCTCAGTATTCTCTTTTTGCAATTCTAATCTCACTAATTATGTTTGGAACATGTCAATGTTGTTTCCTGCTAACCTATATATGTAGGGAGGGAGAGCGAGCACGAGGCAAATAAGGTCGTATTGTTTTTCGCAATAGGTAGCAAAGAAAACATCTTAAGTTTTTTGTCATTGTATACCTGAGCAATGTACTATCTAGGGATTAAACGAATTTTAATATCATAAAATATTTTGCACAACTGTACCTATACTAAGGTCTTAATCTCTCTTTGTGTAAAATCCAAATATGTACCTGTCAACACAATTTGAATATCTTTATGGATTTGTCGCAATCCGTGGCTGGGGCAGAGCACGCGCCCATTTTTTTAACATGTTGTAAAGGTGTAAACATAAGTGCATACATAGTTCTCCCACAGTTAATGAGAGGATCGGCCATAAAACGATAAACCCAATCGAATGCTATGTAAACACCATTACATAGGCACAAGGAGAGTGAGAAATGCCGCAGAGCGGAAATCATATTCGGAGAGCACAACATAAAGGAAAGAACTAACATACCGTTAAACAACTAGCCGTAAATGTAAATGAATTAGCCTGGGCACGTTCGTGTGTACTCTCGCGCCTTATCACCAGAGAAGAGAGCACATTGAAAACACCGAGTGAGAGAGACAGAACGAACAAACATTCTGGGCTCATTGAGGTTTTTCGACAATATAAAAACATTACAACGCATTGTAATTTAAAACAGAACGCGTTTAGCACCAGCGTGTGTAACAACGAACGAAACTATTCCAATGAAATATCCGCCAGCTGTTCGTTTATAAACCACAACAACAACAAATATAATTGTCTCGTGAATTTATTTATTTTCTATTATCGTTGAGTTGGGCAGTGGTAGAAAAGTGTTAAAAATTGATCGTTTCCTTCGTGTCGTTTTTAACGGTCGACGACCCGTTTGCTCGTCTGTTTATTTTTAATCGTAGGCGGAGGCACGTGCGTGCTCATGAGAAACTTTCGATTTCGTCAGTTTGTTTTATCCGGTAAAAACCGTTATTGTATAAATCATGAAGTGGTTCAAAAAGTTGTCGCCTGTAAACCACGAGAGCCCTCATAATAGTCACCATGAGCACCTTCGCCACAAGAATAGTGACCTACACCCGCTGAAAAAGTCAAACAGCTTGCCAACGAGTACTGCCGCCCCCAGCGAGGAATGCCCCACCAGCAACAAAATGCAAAAATCTTTGAGCGTATTGGCATTTCACAATTTCGAAATCATTGACCCCGAATTGTTCTTCCAAGATCCCGATCATGTGCGCAACTACAAAGAGGAAGAGATCTTCCTGAAGATCATGTCCGAATGGGAAATTATCGAAAATCCCTCGGCCAACATGGGCAATTACTTTTCGGCCGACTTTGAAGAGGAGTTTGTGCAAATGATAACACAACAGACAGCAGACAATGCAGCTGCTGGTCATTCGGCGTCAGCAGCGGCGGCAAATTTTCAAAGCATAACTGAACTGTACGATAACAGCTGCTCTGCGACGACAATGAAGACTAGGAAACGCACATACAAACGTTCGTTGACGGAACTAATTTTTGCCGATAAAATTGAAATCGGTCTACTGCCACCAATGGGTTTATCAAGCTCATCATCGTCGGATACATCTTCGCCGCTGTTAAATAAGAAAAGAAGGCGCTTAAAGGGATCGGGTAGTGGTAGCGGTAGCTCGCAAGATGATTATCCTACATATCCGCCCACCTGCTCCAACCGTATTATAAAAGACTGTGCTATTGATCGCTCCCAACTAAAGACTGAAGCTTTGGCCTGCTCCATAATGGGTGCCATTGGTAAATGTCCGGCCAAAGACCGAACTCCACGTTCCTCTATCAATGATCTCATTAGCAAAGCTAGCGATATATGCCATCCCGTTAATAGCTGTGATCACTACGACATTAAGCAGTTTTTTCGTCTCGACGATAATGGAAACATCCTTCTGAACATTAGCCACATAGAAGAAATCAAAGGTATTGGCTTGGCGGCCCGCGAAAATCAGAAACTCTACAAACGCTATTTAAAAGAGGGACATACAGCCGAAGAGAATAGGTCCTGCAACCGAAGATGTTGCATGGAAATATTGAAGCATATGTTAGAATTGTTGTGGGATAAAATTAAATGTAAGTTTGGCGTTAGGTTAGAGGAGGGGTATATTTACTAAGTATACTAGAACTAGATACTTACTATTACGAAGCTCATTTTTTCTTAAAAAGATACTAAACTAATACAAAATTTCCTTTTTATTGTCCGCCTCTTTACAGGTCACCCACGCAATAAAATCAACATATACAATGGTGGTCCCGGCGATACTGTACGGGATTATACTCTGCTGTTGGCCACCGACCAGGGAACTACTTTTGCTCGCAACATTGAAAATTTTATTTCTTGTACCAAGGAATCGCGCGAAGCAGCTCCCCAGGTGGTGATGCGTAACATGCGTCAGTTTATGAATGGCATGAAGAACTATCTGGTTAAGCACGGCGAAGGCAAATTCCATCAAGAAGTTGAAGCAGCTCGCTCTCGTCTTAAATCGGATGAATTCCTCAATTTGGATGCCATTCTGGAAACTGTGATGCATCAATTGGTTGTACTGCCACTGAGAGAGCATTTATATGGAATGTTCGTAGATTACTATACCAGATCTGAGGACATCCAATTACTGGCCCAGAATGTAAAATATGCATGTGGCCGTGCTGCCAGTGATTTTGGTATTAGATCATCTGTTACCCCACCCTCGCCAACTTCGTTACAAGTAATATCAAATCTATTGTTACGCCTGCAAGAGGCTGAATTGCCGTTGGAGAAATTAGAATTATTCCTTTGTGTTATTTCGACCATTTTCGATGCGACTGGTTGTCCTCGAGGACAGCAATTGGGTGCCGATGACTTTTTGCCCATACTGGTTTATGTTGTGGCCAAATGTGGTTTTGTTGGAGCCGAAATAGAAGCGGAATTTATGTGGGGTCTATTGCAACCTACGCTCTTAAATGGAGAGCCTGGCTACTATTTGACCGCCTTATGTAGCGCTGTACATGTCTTGAAAAGTTTTATGGCATCGGAGAATGAAAGTGGTACTGGTTCTTTAGATGTAAGTAAAAATATTTAATCTAAACCGACTGATAATGAGTTATATATAAAAATAAATTTCATTTATTTTCAGTGGCGTTCTTCTTCTTTGCCGGCATGTTCTTCTGTGTTAAGGGTAATCATACCCGATGAATGTAATGGATCGTTACAAACTCGTACTTTGCCAGTTAGACCGCATACCACTACCCGTGAAGTGTGTCGGATCATAGCCCACAAGGCACGCATAACCAATCCCCAAGACTATGCCCTCTTCAAATTGGTAGATGGCGAAGAAACGCTGCTCAACGATACCGAATGCCCACAAGATATACGACTGGCAGCCAAGGGAAAACACTGCATGCTGGCCTATAAACGCATCGATGCCAAAATAGCATGGCCAACAACTGCCCAGCCAAATTTCAATTAGACACAAAATGGATTCAAGCCACTCCAGCATTGAAACATGACTTAATTATTTATATAATTCCCTTATACAATTTTAATATGTTTAAGCCTTGAATATTTGCTCAAACTTATTATAAATATTTTAAGTCGTACATACATACAGATATGTGCCAAAATGGCATGTTTAAACTTTTTCTTTTGTCTCTTAAGAAGTCTAATTTTAAGATGTAATAAAACAGTATTTAAAATAAGTTCAGTTTTATTAAAATGTGTAATGTGGTGAAAACAAAATGAACTTGGACACAAGTCATAATCAAATACTTGAAAATGTAAAAAAGAATAAAATTTGAAAATTTCAATAATTTTGGAATACCAACAAAATAAATGGTTTAATTAAAAACCCCTGTATATTTCGCATTAACTATAATAATAATACGCAAAAAAACTATGAAATTAAACAATATCATAAATATTTAAAAAATATTGAAAAACAAAAAAAGAACAGAACAGTAATGCAAATAAAATAATACCATTCATTCATAAACACAAAATCATATATATTTTGAAATCAAGCAGTGTATCGGTCAGACAGTTTAAATTCATCTATATTGCTGCATTGCAATAAGAAGAAAACAAAATTATTTGTTTGTTTCAAATTTTTCTGTTTTTTTTTATAACTTGGACGTCATAATGGATAATTATGTTGAAGTCATTGCTATAAATCAACAGTGTTAATAATATCTACCGAACAATATTCAAAAATTGTAATTTTTAAATTAGAGAGGAATGAAGACAATCTAATCGTGGTACAGCAAATGACGATTTCAATATATCCCTTTCCTATATGGATCTAAAACAGATGCGCTACTAACATACTTTTGTTTTTTCAATTATAATACCAAATTATTAAATTGTATAGTTTAATTGATGTCATCATCTTATCGATACTGTATTCATTTTTTCATGTGCAAGGCGTCAAATATACAACAATAGATTGGCATTTAAACATTTTTATCCACTGACCGAAACAAATAAAGAGTTCTGAAATCAACTGTATTATTTTCAAATTTGCGTTTATTATTTGTTTTATGTATATTCTTTCTCTTCTTAGTATTTATGATGTAGAATTTGTTTATTGATATGTATTGAATACATTTTTATTATTAACAACTAATTATTTAATAAAAATTAAGAAAACAAAAATAAGTTATCGACCAACATTTGTGAATATTAAAACCATTCTCACAATAAATTTATTTCTGTGAATTAATATTTTCATCCATCATTATTAATAATCATTGACATTTATTCGAATAATAATTTAATATTTTAGAATTAATGCTTACTTTTGACTTCGATATAAAAAACAACAAGAAACATATTAATTTAACAAATACCAATAAAAACGAAATAAACATTTTTAAAAATTCATATAACCAAATAAATCATGTCATTGTTTTATTAATGAGTATTTGTGCGATAATTGCCATGTAACAACAAAAGCATGTACATGTTGTTTGTATATCTTCCTAAAAATAATTGAAAGGATTTTACAAACAATGTTATAAACTTAGGATATACTTCTGGAACGGAGAACTAGTAAATATTTCAAAATTAGATGACAATTTGATTGGAGAACATTTACGCAGACAGCCGTTTAGTATAAAATTTTACACAAAATAATAGTACGTTTATTAAATACCGTAAAACGGCATTTACATTAGAACATTTTACAGGGTTAACCTATTTTATGAGGATTTATTTGGCATATATACAATGGAATTGACAATTTAAACCTACTGTGTTAACGAAATCCGGTACAATGTAAACGTACTATAAATTTAAATTGTCAATTCCATTACATACATATATGTCAAATAGATGTTTGGGATATAATTATGGCTTCTGGAGCGACCAGAAAATCTAACACAAATAGAGTTTTTGGTCCATTTCATCCCCTAAATATTAACCGATCTTTACCAAAAACAATAGGGGTCTTCATTGGCCAGAATCCATTCTACATACAAAATTTGCAACATAGTTACAAAGAGATAGAAACCGTAAAACTGGAGAAAATGCATTTTGACAAAATAGTTTATAAAAAATATCCAGGGGGAATCAGGCATAACAAAGGTATGTTAAGAGTAAAGCCGCTAATACGCGATAATTTGAGTATAAAATGTAAATAAAATCAGAGATCTGTACACAAAATATAGGTTTTTATTTTATAAGTATGTGATACAGCACTTAAAACGTTTAAATACCAGTTCTGACGAGCATTTGAACAACGTAGTTCGCTCTCAGAATTACCTACATGAATTAACCCCATGGTATAATAATAGAAGGTAACAGCAAGTGTTGTTGTACAACAACCCAAACAACAAACACAAAGAAATTTTGTTGTTGTAAGTAATACTAGTGTCATAAACATATGGGAAAAAAATGTAAACAAATATTTCAAAAATATATATGTATATTTTGAAGTTTCATAATTTTTTATAGACTTCTTGTTAAAAATCTTTTTAATGTGGTAAGCAGATGAAATGGTTCTGCCACGTACCCTAAATGCTGTGAATCGTAGAAAAAAGGCGAAATTTGTAAAGATTATAGTGATGATGCAGATGGCTACATTGAGAAAATATTATCGGAAAAAGTGCTTGTTTGGAGGAGCAATATACTACAGCTGGAGTAGGCACAGGTGGCGGTACTTCTACCGATAAAGACAGCCGAAGGTTGCCACATGATTGCTGTCCACGGTTGTGTCTGTCGTCCGCATAGCAAATCATTGGTCAGCAGTACGTATAGTTAGAAATGTTTCCATATAAGGATTTTCAGTGTACAAGACGTGTCTACACGGAGAGCCTGATAAGTGGCCTACATCATTACACGCCATTTCGAATTTAGGAAAAAAAAAAAACATAATCATGCTTCGTACAATTAGGCCCAAGATTCCCAATTTATATATTGTACATGGTAGTGAGATATGCAATAAAATTCATTAAACATTCGAATTATTTATTGTATAAAAGAAAAGGAATCATTTTGTGGAAGAAACTATAAATAAGAAATGGGGAATATGACATAATGGTTATTCACAAAAACCGAAATAAACTGAGATTTTGCTATGCATTTTATTAAATATAATTTAGTAACTAGCATATTTTGTTGTTTCGTTTTTAACAATTAAATCCTAAACTATTCAATATGGAAGCTTTTGTGTTCATCGTCTGCATAAAGGTTGAACATGCATTTTCCAAAAATTTTAAGATTGATACAGAAGCTCTGGGACTTGAGGATTTGATATTTGATGCATTATCCAAACATTTGTAGGAGGGGATATATCGACGACTTAAAATTGACTTCATTTTTGGCTATGCTTTGCTTTGGAGTATGGTGAGGCCTTGAATGTCTTAGGTTTTTCACGGTATCCATTTGAGAATCTGTAACTAAGATCATTGATAAATATATAAAAAGTAAATTTTGTACTTAATCCCAGCTTTGCTGCAAAGATTACAGCCCCTGGGAAATAGTATGAAATCTTTATCACATACCTATTTAAAATCGTGGTATTTAACAGGAAACCGCACCAAAACCAAGAATTTTCTGCAAATATTACAGTCAATCGGTGATTTGGGAATATCATAAATTCTTTATCACATATAGTAGTATATTCATACTCAAATATTAATTTGTTTATTTTTTTTATTTTATGTATATTTTATTATTATTTTTTGTACACATATTTCAATTTTTTTTTTTTCAAAAACATAATTCAACACAACGATTGACACAAACACAATACAAAAACAGAATGCCAAAGTCGACTTTGACACTAGTAGAAATTCAGAATCAAAACATGTGGCACTTGCTGTTACCTTATATTGTTGTACCATGAATTAACCCGTTCATACAACTCTATTCTTAATTCATGTCATCAGAATTTTCTTTTCCAAATTTGTTGTTTCTCCTTTTACACCGAAATCTCAACTTATTTGTGTATATTACCTATAATTTGAGTATAGTAAAAACCCAAAGCTATTTACTTTTCTTTCATGTTTTCCATTTTATTCTGAAAATTTGGTTCTTTTTAATACATTTTTATATTTTCTCAATCCAAATGTCACATATAAAAATTTGGAGAATTTTTTGTTTGAGTTTCCCCACATTTGTTTTGTACGCTAATTAGAACCAAGGGAAAAGAAATACATATTGCATTATGTAGAAAACAAAATTTACATCCTGCTGCATATATAAAAACTATACAATTTTTAACTTTCATTCATCATTTTCAATTTTACTGAAAAAGTTTGAAAATTTTATAAATATTTTCATGCTGTCAAAAATAATTTATTTTCGATAAATACTCTTGTTAGAGATGGGACAAATTTCTTGTTTATTCAGAGAGTGATTCGAATTGAACAACGTACAAAAGTCGGTGTTCGCTCACAAATTTTGTATGGGGAACTATGTAATTACTTCATAATTAAGGGTCGAACACGAATGAGAGAGCGAACAACGCTCGTCTGTACATGGCATAATATTATTCGCTCTGTTGTTATATCATAACAACAGAGGAAAAGCCATCAGATGGAAATAGTTCACGTATCAATTGTCGTATCCTTATAGTTTTATATCTTTATAGTTGTTGTTGTAGCAGCTCTATTGCTGTTACACAATGGGCTGAGGTAACAGACGTTGGCCGAGTATGAACCGGGTCGTTTCGGATCGTAGACCCCTCTGTCGTGGAAATTATCTTTTTAGTTGTGTTGTTCAAAAATCAGAATATTTAATTTCTTTCATTCAGTTTTCAATTTTTATTTCAAATTACAACATTTTTGACAGTTAATTGCACAAAAACTGTTCTGTACCAACACAACCCTAATCCGAAACTACAAAACCCTAATATTTAGCCGAACTGTCACAAAGCCTATTAATAAGGTAACCCAAGAAAATCAGCTGCAAAACAGCTGCTTCTTAAATTTGCTGTCAAAATCCATTATTGGGACTCTATTCCAGGTGGCATTATAAATGGGCCTTAAACTGTCATTTCATTCATTATCAGGCACTAGTGTTGTGAATTTTTGTTAATTTAATATTGTTATAAAAACATTAAGAAATAAACATAATCTTAAATGAAAATATCTATGAAAAGATTATAGCGGCGATTTCCATTAATCTCTGAACCAACGATGTTACTGCAGAGCTTGAAATGTTCACGTCTTACGAAATCACCGCAAGTGTATTGGACTTTTAGAAACTTTACAACCATACGCCAGAATTATCCCACAAAGTTGTTACAAAATGGTTTCCCCAAAACACAACAACAACTTTTGCAACCAAAGAGCCACCAGGTTAGCTTATGGCTGTTGCGACGACTGAAAAGTGTAGAAGCTGCTGAAAAGGTCAAGGCGCCAAAGGTTAAAATTAAGAGAAGCGATGTTGCTCGCCTTATGGGCTTGGCAAAATCTGAAAAGTTGGTACTTGCTGGTAAGAAGGTTTTAGTTTTTGGGTCAATACTCATTTTTATGTTTTGCACCTTTCCCTCCAATTAAGCTGCCATTGGCTGTTTGGTGATTTCATCTACAATAACAATGAGCGTTCCATTTGTTCTTGGCAAAATACTGGACATTATATTCGACAAAGATAGTGAAAAGGCCGGTAAAGCACTGGACAGGCTGAAGCATTTTTCGTTGATACTTTGTGGTGTTTTCCTCATAGGCGGCTTAGCAAACTTTGGACGTATTTATTTTTTCAATAGTGCTTGTAAGTTGCCCATGTGGTTCCAGTCGTTTATCAGAGTGATATTCTATCAGTTCTTCTTTCCAGCATTACGCATAGTACGAGATTTACGTTCAAAGTTATATAGAAGGATGTTGAATCAGGAAGTCGGATGGTTTGATAAAAAAGGTACTGGCGAACTTGTAAATCGTTTGGCAACTGATACTTATTTAGTAGGAAACTCGCTGAGTCAAAACCTATCAGATGGCTTACGGTCAACAGTCATGGTTTTAGCAGGTACATCTATGATGGTATGTAATTATTTAGTTTAGTGGTGGTTAATCTGAAAACCCAATTTTGGTGTTCGTTCTCAGATATACACCTCACCACAGTTGGCTCTCATCAGTACTTGTGTGGTACCTTGCGTTGCTGGAATAGCAATTGTGTATGGCCGTTATGTTCGTAAAATAACTCGCAGTCTTTTGGACAAGCTAGCCGATATATCCAAGGCAGCAGAAGAGCGTTTGGGAAATGTTAAAACCGTTAAAACGTTCTCGAGAGAAAATGAGGAGTGTAAAACCTACGACAATTTACTGGGAGAAGCTCTGCAATTAGGTTACAAGGAAACATTGGCTCGTGCCATGTTCTTTGGAACGGTAAGATTGTTTAAACCAAGAGGCCATGCAAAAATTTTGAAAAATCTTTTGTTAGTAAAAAAAAAAAAATCTTGGAATTCATATTTCATTTTAAACAAATTATATTAATTTGTATTCATTTATTTCTTCATTTTTAGACTGGAATGTCCGGTAACATCATTATAATATCCGTTTTGTATTACGGTGGCAATTTGGTCATTCAAGATGCATTATCTATTGGTGCTCTGACGTCATTCATTTTATACGCTGGCTATTCGGCCATTTCCCTAAATGGTCTTTCCAATTTTTACACCGAACTTAACAAAGGAGTGGGTTCAGCTCAGCGTATATGGGAAATATTAGACCGCAAATGTTTAATACCCACGAATGTTGGTATTATGCCAGAGACAAAACCTCGAGGAGATGTTATATTTGATGGGGTTAATTTTAGTTTTCCTGCCAGACCAGATTCTATAGTTTTAAATGATTTTAATTTAGTTTTACGACATGGCGAAACTACTGCTCTTGTTGGACGCAGCGGTTCGGGCAAAAGTACAATAGCATCATTGCTACTTAGATTATATGATCCGGTGAAGGGGCGTGTTTTATTGGACAATCTCGATTTGAGGGAATTGAGTCCTGTATGGTTAAGACAACATATTGGAGCTGTGAGTCAGGTAAGTAAAATACGATATTTTCGAAACATAATTTATATGCATTTATTTTCTAGGAGCCTGTGCTTTTCTCTGGCACAATTCGTGAGAATATCCTATACGGTATAAATCCAGGCGAAACGATAAAAGAATCAGAATTTGAAGAAATTGTGCGTAAAGCTCATGTCGATGAGTTCACAGAACAATTGCCCAACGGTTTGGATACTTTAGTTGGGCAAAGAGGCATGATGCTGAGTGGTGGACAAAAACAAAGAGTGGCAATAGCAAGAGCTTTAATCAAAGTTAGTTACTATAACAATGTGGGTGACGGCATTTAATTTATAATTATAAAACATGTATTTTTTATTCACTTTAGAATCCCACCATATTAATATTGGACGAAGCTACAAGTGCTTTAGATTCCGTCTCTGAGGAATTGGTCCAAAATGCATTGGAAGAATTGGCAAAGGGAAGGACTTGTTTGACAATAGCCCATCGACTTAGCACAATACGTAATGCAGATACAATTGCAGTTTTAGAAAATGGTCAAGTGGCTGAGCAAGGTACATATGACGATCTTATTACACAAGATAGCGGAACATTTAAGGAACTAGTGAAAAAGCAAGCTTTCCTGATGAACACCTAATAGCACAATTAAGTCTACTGTTAAAGTATAAGATAATTTTTTGTTTTAAAAAGGTTTTAGACGATTCTTTAATGTAAACATTTATTGTTATTAATTAATAAAGTTTTTGTATAACTTTGTATTTTGAAATGATATCTTTACACATGAAACATATTAACTATTACTTACCGACAGTTGTACAGAAATATAGTTTCTTTCAGCCAAGTGTTGCCAGTCTTGGACTTAAATATTAGATTTACAAATTTAAATTGATAAACATGGTATTTATTTCCATGTTTATCAAAAAGACAGTAATTAATTTCATAGTTTTTTTTTAGAAATTTGCATAAAGACATGAAACAAAATATCGAAAAAAAACTACTGACATAAATTAAGAACAGTGTCCTATGAACAAGTAAATTCGTGAGAGCGAACAACGTCAAATGCAAATATCAATGAATGCCCAACGAAATATATAAAAAATCTATTTTTTTGATCGCATCGTTTCGATATCAATTTTATATTTTAATTGAAAATTTTAAAAGATTGGAAGTAATACCATAGACAGACGACAGCTTAATTTGCATTAAAAAGTTCTTAATTTGAATTAAAATTTACTCCTGACAGACGAGAGTTTCTGCATTTATGAACCAGTTTTTTGTTTCAAAACTATTGTTTGTCTGTGTGTAGGAAGAAAATATTGACATTTATTTACAATATTTTTTAGGGTTACATCTTTTTGAAATTGATACATGGCCGGAAGGAAAACTAACAGCTATAATGAAGATAAAACAGCTCCAAATTTGAAGAAATGTTGAATTTTGCCTTTATTTTTAATTTTTAAACAAATTTGACAACAATCAATTTATTTTCTACAGCATTGCCATATTGAAACTGCTTAATTCAGTATAAATTCAGTTTGATTTTGTGCATTAACAACACATAAAAATGAGGATAATGTACAAGTTAATTTGAATTAAGGCTGTTAATGCAAATTAAGGCTGTCGTCTGTCTAGGCTATAAGGTTTTTAATACTGATTCCAGTTGTTTTGAAAGCGATTTCTAAAATAGTTTAGTGGAATTGTAATTTGCCATATGGTGGAATTGTAATCATGATACGAATTTATTGTATAAATGTGTACTAAATTTTGTAATTATTCTTATACCTCATTCTAAGTACCTTGATTTTTTTCACCCAAGAAGAAAAATCTTGCAATAAAGGCCAGTCTCCGTGAAAAATAAAACAGCTTTGTTAAAAAATTTTACCGGAAAATTTTATGCATTTTTCTGTAACTATAAAAATTGAAATTATTGTTTTTGCAGGATAAAATGGAACAGTTTTCGTTGAATTTTTGAAAATAATGTTTAATTTGTTTAAAACGAGAACATTTTTATTCGTCGTTCGACTGTATGAACAGCCCAATCATGAGCAACAAATCAGTAAGGAATTTTTCTCTTTTCATTTTCCTTCTATCATGAACCAAAAATCCACAAGTAAAATCAATCCCCAAAGAAACGTGTAGGTATCATTTTACTAGTTTTTATAACAAAAGACACTATTAGAAATCGAAAAATGTGTAAAAATTTCTCAAAATAAATTTATGGTTGCTAATCAGGCGCTCAAAAAATTTCAACCAATCACTGCCAGGATGAAAAAAATGTATCACATACGAAAACCGGCATTTTTATTTTGTGAGATTTTGAAAGTCATATTTTTAAATAATTATTTATTTGTTCACCGTCGTATTTTATTCCATTCTTTTAAAGAACTAGACAAATGATGTTCGGCATATAAAAAGTGACAAACAAGGTTCTAAAGGTGATCCAATTTTTAAATATATTTTTTCTCAAGATGTTCATGATCGGAGGATCCAATTCCTTTCGGATATTCATGATTGGGCTGAATATGTTCTTAAAAGCTATTCAGATTCGAGAAGAACGTATTACATATTTCGTTGCATCTTTATTGGTAACACATACAGAAATATAAACATGCATGGTCAAACAAGATAAAAAGAATAAAATTATATGGTATCATATTTAAATATTTGGTAATTCTAACAAACCACATTTGTTTAGTTTTTGAATAACATCTGGCAATGAAATGGAATAAAAATGGTCATCGGAAAATGCTTTGACGTTTTTACACTTTATGACGCTGCCATGAGGTATTAGTTCTTCGAGTTTGGCTACAATTTCATCATTACAAGATTCAGGAAGTCCTTCAGATAACATAAATGTACAATTGTAATTAAAATATAACTACAAAAAACTATAAAATCAATTGACTTACCTTGAATTTCACAATCGGCTGTATAGATTGGATATGTAAATTGTGTAGGATAGCGTCGTATATCGTCAATGTGAACCATAGAAACATTGCCATAATCTATGAAGAGTATTGTGGGATATCCATCTCCGACTACCTCCAAACAACGACCTCGGTACCAAAGACCGTCTTCGTTATATTTTACGATGCAAAGTTCATCTTGCCTACAAAAGGAACGTTTTTTTATCTTCTCAAAATTGTGCTTTAATAAAAATTACCTAGGAGCATATCCTTCTTTTGGTATACTTTCCACATATTTTTGCAAATCCTTTTGAAATTTTTGAATCTCTAATGCAAATGGTTTTGTGGTACAAGATACGCATCCGGTACTCATTGATGAATTATCCATTACTATTAACTCCACATTTTCACCGCTTGGTAAATGTTTCTGTTGCAGGTACTAAGGTTTTAAAATATAATAAATTTATAAATTTGTAAACTTTAGTTCAAACATATTAATTCAAATGTTTTCACATTCAGAGATAGTATTCGTCTCTGATATTTTATAAATTATTTTTATAAGAAAATATTGAAAATAACTTACCTCTATATAGCATATTTCATTTGTTGAAAGGGGCTCTGTAGGCTTAGACAACTTAATAATCATTTTGTTCAAATTCTGTTGTGTTGTCTCGTCGATAAGTTCTACATGATAGACACCCTTTTCTTTCGAATAGTCTTCAGGTTTGTATTTCACATAAACGTTAATACCATTCAGATAAGAATACATAAAACTTCTTATCTCCTCTGTCATATAACAATCCGGCACACCTTTAAGGATAACTGGCATTGCATGTCTGGGCTTTTCAGCATATTCAATTGGCGCTTCATACAAATCTTCCAATCTCAAGTTATCCAAATTGCCATAATCCATATAGTTTACAAATATTTTATCAGGGTTATCTGAATTTAATACAAGAGCTCTATTATATTGGTCTCCAAATTTAGCAATAACAACGTTTCCACATTTTGGTTTAATTGCTAGGGGTCTTAATTTTTTACCCATGGCTTGAATACCATCAATTGTTTTGAAATAGCTCATATTATCTTCATAAGTTTTGGCGCGAATAAAAACAATATTGGTTTTACTTATAGCGGTTATTGTAACAATATTACCGCTTCTAGGTATTAGAGATTTACAATCACTTTCTATGTGCGAATTCTTTGGAGAATTATATGTGTTTTCAAACTCTTTAACAGCTGGCATAGGTTTATTTGCTGCCATTGGTGATTTCTTGTGTTTTAGAGATTCTTCCTGTAAGTTCCTAATGAAAAAACAAATATATATATATATATGGTATCATTGTGCAGTCGATGATAACAGTTTAGTGATTTATATCTTACTTTGGTTTGCCACATATATAACGATGTTCCTGCCAATCACTTTTTTGACAGTCTACACTGCAATAGTACACTGAACAACGGCTACATATAGTATCACATTCACGTTTACAAACATTACACTTTCCAATTTTGGAGGGTTTCTCGAATCCATTCACTTTATTCACATATATGCCCGTTGATGGTGAATATCTACCCGAGGATTCTTTATGTTTTTTGGTTACAAAATCCCTCATATTGTCTGACATTCTAAAACATAATGAAATAAAATATTAGTAGCTATAAATATGTCTTCCATATTATTTGTATAGTTTAATTTACTTACTGTATATAAGAACGACCTGTTTGATATTTGAATTTGGCGTGCTTTATTGGTTCGTGTAAGCCTTCACGTTCTAACTGATGTGCATCATTCTGGAAAAAATCTGCAGAATATACATTACATTCGTCTCCATCAATCTGTTGTGGTTGTTCAATTTTTGGTCTGGGCAATTGCTTGCTTGGAACACGAATAGTTCGGTTTTGATAATCAATACCAGTTGTACGTGGTGGTACAGGAATTATCTTATTTTCCTTGTTGTAATCCATTGGTGTCACAGATTTCTTGTGTTTTCCAACAAACACTTGAAATCCGTAATTATTATTCTCCAGTGCACGAAATGTTGCCTCCATATCACTGAATGAATAAAGTTAATTTTTAACTGGCTATTATTTCAAAACAATAAATATTTATACGTATACGTTTTGTGTGTGCGTGGTAACGGAACTGTTGATGGTAACCGCTACTGTGCGGAATGTTAAAAAGAGTGGGCCAACTGTTTCAGTCGCATGGAATTATCTTCAATCATTAACTAATATGGATTGTTCTATCTATTTAAATAACAATTTAATGTATTTTTCGGAACTTTAAAGTGTTTCTTTTTTTTAATATTTTCCATAGCTCCTAAAAAATTGCCTTTATAAAATAAATTATTCGTTTATTTTGAAATTGGTTTGAGTCTAAAACGGAATTTACATTAGAATTGTTTACCGCGTGAAACTACTTTATGAGGGTTTATTTGACAATTGTACAATTTATACCAAATGGGTTAGCGAAATCCGGTACAATGTAAACGTACTATTACGTTAAAATATTTAAAGGTTTGGGTTTAATTTAAGGTATTTTAATTTTGAGGTATTTTTTGGAATCGCTCATGGACCTTTGGGCTAAAAACAATGTTACAGAGCTTTGGTTGTTGTTTATTGTTGTTCGTCTCAAATTACATCTACTAAAATAATTGTACTTATGTGTAGGTCGAATATATTAATTCAGATTGATTTCCCAGTCGTAATATACACCTAAGTCTGTTTTTACACGATCTTTTTGTACATGGTTTTGATATACCACGGTTTGAAAATTGAATATTTTTCATTTTTTCACAATTTTATTCCATTTAGAACGATTTGAAATTTTATGTACTTAATTTTTTTTTTTTTTGCCAAATTTAATTTTTGCGAAGTATGTTCATATCACAAAAAAGTATTTATGAAAGAAAAAAGTCTGAAACCATCCATAGTTTGCGAACACTAGCTTAAAGATTTAAGCGAATTCCCCTTTAGCGCGTACAAACAATTTTTACTCGTCAAAGCAAATGTGAATAGCACTACTTTAGGGGAAAGAAGATCAATTTCTTTTTTTACACGGCTTCTTCTGGAACCAATCTGCCGTGTAAAAACAGACTTAGGTGTATAAATATAAAGTCTGAGTACAGATCGTAATCAGTATCTGTATATCAATTTGATTGATCCCGTCTTTCATATTCAAGCGATTCTACAAGTTCATAGGTTTTATACTTACGCCACTGTCGCAAAATCAACAAAGAAGTAATCACACTTTTGGCTGTCCCGTACGGATGTCACTGTACCATGCTTGGAACAAATATTCCTCAAAGCAGTTTTACTCATTTTCGGTGGCATATTTTTAAATAATAGAAACGGCGTTGGAGCATCTTTTGAGGGTGTAGTATTTCCATTGTTGTTAGCCAGTTGTAAAGAAGAATCAAGGTTTGCACCAGGCCCTGTATTGTATTGATTGAATTCGACACTTTTGTAGTCTTTTTCCATTGGATTCCATTTTTGGAAATCTTCCTTCAAGTTATCATCACTCATTTTGGTACAGAAACTCACTTGATTGGGATATAATCACAATTCAAACACGGATGAAGATAAACCAAACAACCAATTTCCCGAAGAATGCCGGATTTAGGGATCCGTAAATCAAATCAGGGCGCTTCCTATTATCAATCAGCTGTTTTTTGCATGTTATGATACTAGCTGTGTTCCGTGTGTTCGTTAACTTATAGTTTTCGTCTTAATACTTTTTAAAACAACATCGAAGAGAAGACTCAAATAAAACTGGTACCGGTGGCTTGAATTGATCGGTATACTTTGCCCTATGTGCTAGCTCACCGTATCACATAATCTAATTAAATTCATTATGATATTATGTTCTATGAATCGCTTGGCCCTCGTATACGAAATAAACTAAATTGAAAATTATTATATTTACATACACATGGTATAATAATAAAAGGTAACAGCAAGTGTTGTTGTACAAAAACCAATACAACAACCACATGGAAATTTGTTATTGTAAGTTCTACTAGTGTCAACTCATTTGACAGAAAAATGTAAACAAACAAACAAATTATCATCAAATTATTTTTATTTTGAAAATGGAATATTTTCGAATCCTCAAAATAAAAATTGAAAAACATGAATGAAAATCTATCAAATTTATATTTCTATCGCTTCCACATCTTTCCTTTAATTGAGCCATTGCCATATATATGACATATATATGACAATGCTGGGAATAGCGAGTAATTCCTTCAAGAAAGATTTGCTTCCTGAAACTTTCCCAGCAGGCAGATTGAGTAAATTGAATACGGGGGCACATTAATGAAGAACAATTTCAAATTGTTTGCGTTCCCAATTTTTCTGTTGGGTGATTTTTAAAAACACAATTTGTCAAATTCATATTGACACTAGTATTACGTTGGAATCAAATCAGCTGGGATTTGCTGTTAACTTTTATAATTGTACCATGTTACATACAATACAATTTATTGCGCTCCGTACAAAAATAATCACCTTCTCACCTTTATAGAGTTTGTTAGACGTCCGTATTACCCAAATACACAGGGACTTTATTTGCAACTGTGCTAATTGAAAACGGCGAAAGTGGATGAAAATATTTTTTTATTGATCGAAGAATGTTTACATGAATAGGAAAACAATTTTTTCAACGACTAAAATTATATTTTCCAAAAGCAAAAAATTTAAAATACGCATTGTCAATATTGAAAATTTTCAAAAGTTAAATACATATATTTCAATGAATGTTACCCAAATATGTATTGCGTATAAAAATATAAAGTTGAAATTTTCAATGTTGAAAAATGTCAACTTTGTATTTTGATACGCAATGCGTATTTGGGTAACATTCATTGAAATACATGTATTTAACTTTTGAGGTGAATAAATTCGTACGCATACGCATGAATTTAGGTACGACCCTTAAAAATTTAACAATGCGTATTTTGGATTTTTTTTTTTTTTTTGAAAATAGAATTCCAGTCATTGAAAAATTTGTCTTTCTATAAATGTAAACATTTACGGTTAATTAAGAAAATGTTTTCATCCATTTTAGCCGTTTTCAATTCACACACAAGTAAATAAGGTCCTTGGGTAATACGGACGTTCAACAAACCCTATAAAGGTGAGAAGGTGGATATTTTAGTACGTAACGAACTGAATTTGGGTACGGGTCTTATGCCATGTTCTGACGGGCATCCGAACAACGTAGTTCGCTCTCAGAATTACGTACATGAATTAACCCGTTCATACAACACTATTCATAATTCATATCATCAGAGTTTTTTATTTCAAACTTTTTGTTTCTTGTTTTACACCAAATATGTAACATATTTTAGTGAATTACATAGGGATCTAAATAGAAAAAATAATTCTCTTTCTCCTGACTATAGTATGAACCCATATCTATTTACTTTTCATTCATGTTTTCCATTTTTTCTGAAAATGTTGTTGTTTTTAATACATTTTTATATTTTCTCAATTCAAATGTCACATACTGTCACAAATAAAATTTTGGAGAATTTTTTGTTTGAGTTGCCCCACATTTGTTTCTTGTTTTGTACGCTAATTAGAACCAAGGGAAAAGAAATGCATATTGCATTATGTAGAAAACAAAATTTACATCCTGCTGCATGTATAAAAACTATACAATTTTTTACTTTTCATTCATGATTTTCAATTTTACTGAAAAAGTTTGAAAATTTCATAAATATTTTCAAACTGTCAAAATTAATTTATTTTCGATAAATACTCTCAATTGTTAGGGATGGGACAAATTTATTGGTTATTCAGAGAGTGATTCGAATTGAACAACGTACAAAAGTCGGTGTTCGCTCAGACAATTTTGTATGGGGAACTAAGTAATTCCTTCATAATTAAGGGTCGAACAACGAATGAGAGAGCGAACAACGCTCGTCTGGACATGGCATTATATTTTGATACACAATGCGTATTTGGGTAACGTTCATTGAAATACATGTATTTAACTTTTGAGGTGAATAAATTCGTACGCATACGCATGAATTTAGGTACGACCCATAGTGAGATCTATATAAGGTCGGACCGTAAGCCCAGCTGACTATTAAGTTGGCTATCGAAGTATGTTTTGAAACTTATGAATATATACAAAAATTATATTCTTGTCATATTAAAAATATATATATATATTAGGTTTGTTTGATAATCCAATAATTTTGATCACTTCTTTGCATTGTGATGGAAATTTCCTTCATAACAATGAATGACCAACAAAATATTTAAAAAGAATGTTAATTTTTGGTTGGCCGAGCCTCGACAAATCTTTTATAAATTACATAAATAAGGATTATGATTATGCAAAAAATAAAACACGTAACTAAACGTGATTTAGCCATTTTAATTTTTTTGTAATTGATATGGCATTTCATGTTATCGAAATGGATTACTAAAAAAGTTTAAGTAAAAAATATATATCATAAGTCCCAATTTAGATTAGGCGAGTTTACTTGCGGCAAGTCTTTGTTTGTAGGAGAGAGGAACAAGGGGTATAGAAATGATAAAAAAAAAATTGCTCGTACCGACAATTTTCTGGCAATTCGTTTTGTGTATTTCGTATTTGTTGACATTTTATATATATTTAAATGTGAAAAAAAAACAACAAATAAAAAAATATTTTGGAACCCGAATTGCCTTGTATAGACGCATGGAGCAAGTTCAAAACAGAACGATAAAAATTGCCGCAAGTAAACTCGCCTATATAAATCAGGACTAATTAATAATAATTTTACAACACCAATTTATAGTATGTGTACTATTTTGTTCAATATTTTTCCTTCATTCTGATTATGACATCTATCACCCTGAGAAGGGTTAATAATTAATACAAATTGTATTAACCCTCCGATGAGTGACAGTTCTGTGCTTCACGGCCGAGTGAAAAGGTACCTACGGACCTTTTTGTAAATCATATTCTTTCATATATATATATATATATATATGTATATATATTTAATTTTTTATTGTTTATAACTAAATTCTACATACATACATATAATTTTTTCAAATTTTAAATTTATTTATTTTTTGTTTGAATTTACTTAAAACTATTATAAAAAAGTTTTGAACATTATTGTTGTTGATCTAGTCCCCCGCCCTGTGCGCAAGTGCCGCAGCCGAAGCAGTCTGCCATTCGTTAGCAATAACAAGAATGACCGCCATCTGTTACTCCTTTTTATAGGCTTCATCATCATGGTATATTCAGTATTCAATTTACCTTGGGATTCATTTCGTTGTAAAACGTAAAAGCAGCCAATGCAGCGACGTCTACCATATTATAAAACATGGCCAACGGCCATCGTCGTGTTGATCTTTTGTTCTGTGCCTGGCATTTAATTCATGGTATCAACGTCGCATTTGTTGGCGTTGTAATCTATTATTTGTAGTGGCCGAAGTAGGAGTAATTTCAGTTTGAAAAGCCAAAAAGGTCGCTAGGGACCTTCTCACTCATCGGAAGGTTTATGAGAATACATTCTTATGTATAGAAGAAATTTAAAGAATTGTAGAACATCTACAAGAAACCTATTTGGTCACCAAGGTTTTTAATTTTTTTATAGTTATATTTCATTTATTAAAATTTTCGTCAGTGGTACATAAAAGTATATAAAGTGTTTAGAAATACATTTTATTTTCCACTTAATTTTCATAACTTTTGGTGTTTCTATCATTATAACACTGATAGAATATATTTTGTAGCCTTCGTACATGTATATGTATATTAAGAACTTATACTAACTTATACATAGTTTATTCTCCACGTGTCTTCTTCAAAAGACTTCCCAATAAATCTGATATAGCAGGTAATTCTGGAGCAGGTCCGAGCTGATGACTGGTACCTACAGCTGGCTTTGTAGGATTATGTTGTAGATTTCGATGTTGTGGAAATGTTGGCATCAATTTAGGATCACAAGCTAAAAACATATTATTAAAATTAGTTTTATTGATAAGATATGCAAGAAAAAGGATGAGCTCGTGCATTAATTGTCAAAAATTTTCTATTAATCTATTAATCTTTTTAAAAAATGTTAAAACAAATCGAGTACACTGATAATATTTATAATTAAAAATATTAGAAATGTCTAATGTAAATTTGAGTTAAAACTTGTTAAAATATATACTTACGCAAAGGCGACTCTTTAAAATAACTACTGTGAAGGCTTTCTTCGGCTGTAGCCCTTTTCTTTGGATCGTACATGAATAGGAAATTCAATAATCTCAAACCTGCAGCAGACAAATATGGAAACTTTGGTTTCAAATTATTATATGGCTGTTTTTTAAGAGTGAAATTTTGAATTGCAGGCATTTTGGTATAATCTGGCCATATAGCTTCCGATGGGGTGCCTAATAAATCGATTATTAGCTCTAGCTGTGCAATTTCGGTGTTGCCCGGTAAAAGTGGCTTGTGTGATAATAGTTCTCCAAAAATGCAGCCAACAGCCCACATATCGACGGCTGTTGTTTGTGTGGGCGCTCCCAACAGCAATTCCGGCGAACGATACCATAGAGTAACAACCTGTGGTGTCATTGGTCCCGATGGTATACCAATTAAACGCGCCAGTCCAAAATCGGCTACAAAATACAATTACATTAAGTAAAATAGGAACAAATTTATTTCGAAAGTGAATACCTATTTTAACACAGCCTTTATCGGTCATCAATAAATTGGATACTTTTAAATCTCTGTGTATTATATATCGCGAATGCATATATTTGAGAGCCTGGAGTACTTGCAGTACTATACATTTGACTTCTGATTCAGAAAACGGTTGTGCCATATTGTCCAAAAGCGATGCCAAGTCTTGTTCACAATACTCCATAACCAGGAAAATGCTAAAACCGAAAATATTGTTCATACTCCACTTAAAATATTAAAGTATGTTACTAACTCACCTTTCCAAGCTTTTACCAACGACAACATCAATTAAATTAACTATATTATCATGTTTGCATTGTTTTAGAATTGTAATTTCCCTTAATCCACTGACTGGGAGTCCATCTTTTTCTTGGTCCATCCGGACTTTCTTCAAAGCAACAATTTGATTGGTACGTGTGTCTCTGGCTCGATCTTGACCAATTGTGATTATTTTGTAATTCTTGACTAGCATATTAGTTATCAGTACTTACATACAATGCCATAGGTTCCTTCGCCAATTCGATTTAGTTTCTCAAACTCTGTGACCGGCCTACAACGTCCGTACTAAAAATATTTAATTTATAATTATAAACAAAATATGAAGGTTCCCAGTAGGTACTTACAACATCCCGCTCCAGAATTTCTTTAGGTTCCCCTGTTTTCAGGGAAATTAGGAATCCTTTTCGCGTTACTGGTGCTTGAGGATCGGCCGCTTTTGCTTCACCTACTTCATCTTTATGGGCAAACATTTCCTTAATTATTCATTTGGCTAGGGGGATACCCACTTATTCCCGGTTTCAAATTTTAAGGTACTTTGAAACCGGGATGGGGCTCTTTGATAAACATGGTTCTATACATACGTTTGTTCATTTTATGCCTTAAATATTTTGTTTCTGAGAAATAAAATTTAAACAAATTTGGAAATGTTTTTGTTCTGTTGTTTTGTTTAGTCTGTTGTTTGGTGTAGCTGAGTCCAAGGTATATTTAGCAAGGTAGACGCATCATAACAGCTGTTAGATCGAATAAATGTCAAAAATGTTATTTTAATTTAAAATCAAAAAATAAAAAGAAAAATTATTAATAAAAATCTCTGAATTATGAAGAGCTACACAGTGCAATACATGTATTATGATTTTCTAAATGATGAATTTGTGTAAATAAATAAAATAAATTTTGCAAAGAATTGTGTTTGGATAGAGATTTGTAAGTCGTAAATGTTTAAGTCAAGGTAGATTTAATAAGGTAGCCACATTTGAAAATAGCTTTGGTATATTTAACTGCCCATGATCCAATAAACAGGTCGTGTCTGAAGCAATCGTTATCGACCATTTTGGAGTAAAATCCCCCATACTGTCAAATATTTTGTTTACGTGTTTATACAATTTAGTCAATATCGAAAGCATTTTGACATCTCGGGTGAAATCATCTGGCCTTAATGACGACTTATTATTGGATCATGTAACTGCCGAAAAAAAAACAAAAAAACGATTTTTTATGATCTTGTTTGGCATGATCATATAATATCATCACGATCGATTTTTATGTGTTTTCAAAACATTTTTGACAGAACCATCAAAAATTTTTATTAATCGAACGTTTTTTTTCTTGTACTGTTATAAATTTGGAAACTTATACCAATATTTCTGTACGGGAACAGACCAATCAATCTTCTGCAAAGTTGTTTGTTGTAATCGATTGCTGCTGTGACTACCTAATAAAATCTATCTTGGTCGGCTATTGATCATGTAAGACAAGTTCAATTCATGTTCCATTAAACAGGTCGTGTCAGAAGCAGTCGTTTTCTGTAATTTTGGTTGAAATCGTTATGTTTTTCATATTCAATTAATTTTAATTCAAAAGTGAACGCATTTTTACAGCTCGGTTATATCGGACGATCTTATGATGTAGAAAATTGATCTGGAACTGATCTGACAAAACCTAAGTTTGATAAGTTGATTTTTTTAAAGGAAAATATAGAAATGTCTATCTGTAGTTTCAACAACGGGGGTTTTTATTGTATATCGGAAAACAGCTGTTATTTCTCAAGTTAAATATCAGAAAGTTTGACGTTATTTACGATTTTTTACCTGAAATCTATTCACAATAATGTATTTTTCACATCAAAATTGAGAGGCACCTTATTTACAGCTGGTCTTACCTTTTTAATAGACCTTTAATTAACTGATTATACTATAATCGATTTCTATGTCCCTATTTTGTTTATAGTTTGCATCCACGTGCATTTGTTTACAGTTTTCTGAAGTATTTTTCTATTTTTTAATTTCTTTTATTAAGAAGCGACGGGAAAAGGAAAATGTCTACTGAAGATGGTAAGAATGAAAATTACAGACATTTGAATTGGTTTTCTAAAATTGTTTTGTTTTTGTAGAATTCTCCAAGTGGCTGCGTCGTAAAGATAAATCTTTCGAGGAAAGTCTTAAATTTGCAATTAAAGCATGGCAATCAGTCGAATTCACACTGCCGACAAAATATGAAATCATTTTGCAATGGATATCAGAGCATACCGATTTAACGAATGAATGCCTTAACAAAGATGATCTCAAGGAACTCCTCAAATTGAGAGCACAACCTGGTCTCATAGGTGAAGATGTAAAGTACAAATTCGTCAAGTGGTGCCTGAATATGGGCACCTTATATGACCACAGCACAAGGATGTGGTGTGAAGCCTTTGCATTGTTAATTGAATTCGAATTGCTGCAAGATCTTCTCAGAAAAGATTATGATTTGCAAGCCCAAGTGTATGAAGCATTTTTCGTTAGCTATGAGAAATACTTGGAACAGATTGCCGAAAATTTTCTATGCACCAGCGAAACCGAGTTTATTGCTTCTATTTTGAAAACTTTAAAGGAAACCATTAAACGCTGTGGTGATGTGAACATGTTTCAAACAAGCTACACGTCCTTTGTGTTGCATCCTTTGACAAATGTGCTGCTTACCATGAGAACATTAAAGGTGGATTTCTTCCAGGAACTGACAGACATCGAAAGGCTGTTAACTACAAACATGAACGATGTTGATTTATACCAACGCTTGACCAGTCTGCCGCTGCATGTTCAACTTCTAGCATTGGAGTGCTCCATTGTAAATCGCAAAAATGTCGATGAGTACATCAAAATTGTATTGGCAAATAGTTTCAATAAATGTACTGCTAATAATCCCTCACCAGAAGAGATATCTGTATATATGACCATTACTGCTTATGTCCTGGAAATGTATTGTCGACATGATGTAAATATAAATATAGCATACAATAAGACACAAAACGTGGTACAATTTATAGGCAAACGTACTCATCATGTCATTAAATGCTTACGAGGCAGTCATCTGAAAGAGGTGTTAATGTTATTGTGTGCAGCTTTGCGGTTAAATCCCTTAATTTTGGAGGATAATGTATTCACATTAACAGCAAATGTAATTCTGGCCACAAAATCGTGCGACCTTAAAGAGAAGCAGCTGTTCGAGGAGTATCTGGTATTATTAATGGATATGTTCCGTCGTTTAAGTCGTGCTGAAAAGTTTGTCAGTAATTTAATTAAAGCACTAAATACCCGCTTAGAAGAAGCTGATATTTTTTCAACTAAGAAACGAAAGGCTCAAACAGATAATGCACAAACGCCTTCTAAGAAGAAGAAAATGGAAAACCCAGACGAAAGAGATCATCAGGACAAAATCGTCCCATCAAAATATCTAGACATACTATTTCAAGATTATTTTAAGCCCGTTTTGACACAACAGAAATTAGAAGCAAACTCAGCACTGTCCGCGTCAATTTCATTTCCAACTTTGCAGAATTATTGGCCCAGCAGTCCAGTGGGAGTTGCATTTTCGAAAATTATAACTGGTCTAGTTACCAAACCCTCTTTGGTAATTTGGAAAACCCTATTATTTGCCCTTAAGGAACTAATAGAATCATTCCAAGGGAAGACAACTCTAAATGAAAAGGAATTACTTCAATTAGATTTCCACGTTGCTTTGCTGGCACAATACTTTGCCGGTTCGAAGTTAGCAGAACAGTCGGGACATTTTCTCAGTGACATCAATAATCAGAGACAATTTACCACAGAGGTCCTACAGTTGTTTGGTAAATTTATATTAGAACGAGAACATCAACCTCGAACAATGGCTGCCTTTCTCGAACTATCATATTTTGCTACATCATTGGAACTGATGTTAGCTTTTTACCGACCTGACGGCTGTGAAGATGAAACATTGCATCCACAAAAAATATTGGAAAAACTGCAAGGGTTTTTGTCCACCGAAGAGTGGTTACTCATACAACAACGTGTATTAAATTTTGGCCAATCGAGTTGTAAATATTTGTTGCAACGATTAAGTATGCAAAAATCCCAATCATCATTACTACTATTGTTGGACTCGTCCCAAACAGAAAAATTGCAGTTGGAAAGAACATTGGAAACCGGCGACAACGAACAATTGCATAGCTTCCTGAAATCCAACAATGCTAAATGGCTGCTTTCACAGCTACCTAGAAGTAGAAAGGCGCCAGTGGCAACGTATGTGATACAAAGTGAAGATTTATTGCCGATAGCTGGTGATGACTTGGATCTGTTGGAGTTTTCTTGTTTGGCTATTTATGAGAATATTTGCTCGTCAATTTCTTCGAAGAATGGTTTGTTGAAGACACTATTGTGTGAATTTGATGAAATTCGGCAATGTGTAGAAACTGCTGCCACTGAAACGTTAATAAAACGTTTAATAGATGTCATCAATGAACGAGCCGACGAGAAATACACAATTAAGAAAGTTAAAGCCGACGAAATACAGGCCAATTTAAATTTACTATCGCAACTTCCGGTTGGACATTTGAGACGTCAAAGGAAAACAATTATTTTTGCTTTGCATCTGTGTCTTTATCGCGATCTTAAATGTGGCAATGAAGATGTCTTAGCTGACCAAGCATTAGAAGTTATGAAAGGTTCGTAGATATAATAAAGCGTTGTAATAAACAGTTCGTTTATTTCTATTCTCTTTAACCTGATTATAGATACCCTACACTTTGGTCAACAAGTTTTAATTTTCAAATATTTCGATGCAAAACGATTGCTTACACTTTTACCAACGGAAACGTGTTGGCAGCTTTATGAATTCCTATTTTCAACCATAAAAAATGAAGAGAAGGGCACAGATAAATTTCTCGAAGATTTGGCATCTATCATCCAAGAGGCACAATCTTCGCAAAAAATTGACAACGAACAACGTAAGCTACTACTAATTGCAATAGAATCGCTCTCATCTATAACTGGTCCTAGTGCTAAACGAATGCGTAAACATTTGATGGCATTTTTGAAAATATTCTCGGAATATCTGGATACCCATTTCAATGAATCGAATGATGGTACATCCAAGAAGGATAAAAAATTTGTGCATAAAACATTGGCTGGTTTTGCGTCATATGCTTCTGTAATATTGGCCAAGGCAGCAAAAAGCAAAGAGGAAAAAGAAAATCAAAAGGAAGTCGCAAATGATACTGTTTTGGAGCAAGAAATCGATGAAAATTTTAGGCGCATCAATAAAATTTACATAGGGCATTCGGTAAGATTTGTGCTATTCTTTCACATTTCTAATCTTACTCATATATATTTTATATCGTTCAGATGGATTATCGAAATCCCCACGCTTTGCGACTTATGAGTTTGGCTCTGAGCCATCGTGAACTCTTGCACTTGGATCAAGATGAAATTGAATTTGTCCTAACACATTATTGGACACAAATAAATGAAGATTTACAAAGTCCCGAAGACCAAAGTAGTAAGAAAACCATTGAAACGGCTGTTAAGCTAATTATAAGCAATAAAACAAATGAGGACTTACTACTCACTCTCAAGTGTTTGGTCAATAATTCAGAAAGTAAAAATGTCACAAATATCTTGAAATTATTGAGATTGATAGCTAAATGTCCATTCAGTACCGTAAAGGGAGCAGTAAGTTAATTTAGTGTGATTAAGCAAACAATTCAATATAATAAGGAAACATAAATATTTCTAGATTTTCAATGAGATGTACAAGAAGATTACTTCCAATATAACATTACGTTTGGAAAGAGACGATCAACAACAATTTACTGATTATGACAGAATAATGGATCTTTTGCGGAGTCATCAAGCAATTCTTGAAAATAAAATGGTAATTTTAATATAAAAAAAGAACAAAAATTAAACAGAATATTTTACGTATGTTGTTGTGATTTCTTTTAGGTTCCCATATCCACAGATACCATGGACAGCATACTCTCATTATTAATGGAAATAAATATTAAGAAATTCCCATTATGTGATTCCAATATAAACATTTTCAATTCCCTGCATTCTGCCGTAACAGAAGTATGTTCTTCGCTTATTAAACAGCGGCACCTACTTTTACTGGATCGTGCTCCACAATATATGCACATCTTTAAAGATCTAATACAATCTGTAGTTTGGTACAAAAGTGATCGTCAAAAGGACACAGCATTGCCCAGCGATGAATTGGATAACCTTGCAGAGCTGGCAATGAAGTTGGAGGCGTTAATGCATTTAATTGCACAGCACAGTGTGGGCTTTAAGCGTGTTGCACCATTCATTTTGACATTTATAATAAATTTGATGGTGAAAAATCAAAGGCCCACTACTCTTTACAACAAGGTAGGTTTAATGTCTAATTTTATTTTTTAGTCTACTCGATATTTACTTTAATTCTAGGTCAAAACTCATGTGGAGAATATATGCTATGATTTGGTTGGAATTTGTGATCATCGTGCTAAGAACTTTATTCTACGTTGCTCCAATGAGGCTGGTCGTCAGTTGTACGAGGTTCTCGTTAAAGATTATCAAAAATACCATAAATTTAAGGGTAAAGTGTAAAAATATTTTTGATTATATTAAATGTGTTATATTCATGGATATTTTGCATCGTTTTCATTTGGACTTCAGTAATAAACAAATATTTTTTTTTTCGAAAATGTGTTTGTTTTTTAATTTAAATATGTAAAATTTCCTAAATTTCATGTTTGGATTGGGCGAACGGAAGCCATATTCTACAATTTTTTTTACATCCACAAACAGCATTTTCATAATTATTTTTATAAATAAGACAAATGAATATTTTTATGTATTGACCTGCAATCCACATAATTTATTCAAATTTGAACATAAATAAAACTAAAACTATTTAAAATAAGCAATGTTTCTTCACTTTAGATCTTAAATAAAAAAATTATGCAAATAAGGAACATTTTTCGCATAAGGGTTGTTCGGAATTTCCACTTCCACTGCAATTATTGCAATTATAAAATATTGTATATTACATTAAATTGATAATAAAAACTATATAACTTATTGTACTTACAACAACATAATGCAAGAGTTGCACACAAACTTGCCACACTCGACGCACGAATAACCGCATTCTTCACACAAGTCATTTTGGCAGTTGACGCATTTGTCCTGGACATAAGTTTCCCTATTACAACACTTGGCCTTACGACGAACCCATAGAAACTCGTCGTCTTGTTCATCGGCGTGCTTAGCTGGTTCTATTTGTCCATTTCCAGAAAGAACCACCAAACGATCGAGTGGTGTCTTCTTGTTGCGGTCCGGAAGAATGTTGTTGTTGCTGACCGAGCGAGCAGCTTGGAATAACATCTTAGTGGTTTTGGCTACAGGCAAATGGAATTTCATATATGTAATGAGAGGTTTTTTAGTCAGAACTCACCATAGATCTGTTTCATTTTGTTGCTGTCATGGGAATCCACAATCTTCTCGTTAACATGCATTTTTGTCTGTAGGACGTATGGTGAGGACTCCTCAGAACGCATTCGCTTCAAACTTACTCTTTGCATTTTGTTTAGATGCTTTAAAGTTTTATTTTCAAAAGTAGAAATGTATAGTTTTTTGTAATTATTAAATTGTGCTAATATGGCTCGGATTGAACTCTTTTTATTTATTTATTTCTTCTTCAAGTTATTGGCCCGCCTTTAGACTAAACCATGGCCTATAAATAAGGTCACCAAGGGAGACCAGCTGATTATCGATACCTCTCAAGTTTGCTGTCAAAATGCATTATTGTGAATTGACTTCCATTATGAAAACGTAAACAAAGTCGAAATTTTTGACATTAGGCTTGAGAAAAAACAGCTGTTTTCCGATTTCGATTGCTATCTTGGTGACCTTATTAATAGATCTTGGACTAAACGAGTGTTATGCCATGTTCTGACGGGCAATCGAACAACGTAGTTCGCTCTCAGAATTACGTACATGAATTAACCCGTTCATACAACACTATTCTTAATTCATGTTATCAGAGTTTTTTATTTCAAACTTTTTGTTTCTAGTTTTACGCCAAAATTCTAACATATTTACATGAATCACATATGGATCTAAATAGAAAAATTAATTCTCTTTCTCCTGAGTATAGTATGAACCCATATCTATTTACTTTTAATTCATGTTTTCCATTTTTTCTGAAAATATTCTTGTTTTCATACATTTTTATATTTTCTAAATTCAAATGTCACATATGTATAAAAATTTGGATAATTTTTTGTTTGAGTTTCCCCAAATTTGTTTCTTGTTTTGTACGCTAATTAGAACCAAGGGGAAATAAATTCACATTGCATTATGTAGATAACAAAATTGACATCCTTCTGCATATATAAAAACTAGACAATTTTTTAATTTTCATTCATCATTTTCAATTTTACTAAAAAAGTTTGAAAATTTTATAAATATTTTCAAGCTGTCAAAATTAATTTATTTTCGATAAATGCTCTCAGTTGTTAGGGATGGGACAAATTTCTTGGTGATTCAGAGAGTGATTCGAATTGAACAACGTACAAAAGTCGGTGTTCGCTCAGACAATTTTGTATGGGGAACTAAATAATTACTTCATAATTAAGGGTCGAACAACGAATGAGAGAGCGAACAACGCTCGTCTGTACATGACATTACGAGTGCTACGAATGGGAGGAGAAGACAAAATGACCGATAAAGATGAATTCAAAATGGTATAACCGAAAGTTTACGAATGAGGTGGGATGGAGACTAAATGGAAACCGTGTTGTTTACGAATGAGGTTTAGACAAAAATGTCAAAAATGGAACGAAAGAAAATTGAAAAACGTTCCACTTGCTGACGAATGGTGGAGAGGACAAAATGGCCGATAAAGAAGAACTCAAAGTAGTATAACGAAATATTTACGAATGAGGTGTGATGGAGACTGCAGACCGTTAACCAGATATGATTAAAAAGTAGTCACAAAATTGTCTCTGTTTGGAGTTCACACTTTAAAATATTTCAGTTAAGTACTAGAACCGTTAAAGGTCGTTTACATTTAACCGGATTTGGTTAACCCAGTGGGTTTGAATTTTCAATTCCTTTGAATATATGCCAAATAAATCCTCATAAAGTAGGTTAACCCGGTAAAAAGTTCTAATGTAAATGCCGTATTATTTCAAATTCAATATTAGATGCTAAACTATTTATATTGCCGGTTCAATATAAATAAAAAGGATTTTTGTTAACAAATTTTAGTACGATGCCGACATTTTGTATTCCCCTCAAGTTTAACGAATGGAGCAAAAATAATGCGTTTGTCTTATAAAAATATGTAATTATTGTATTATTTTTATACCCTTCACCACACTGTGGTACAGGGTATTATGTCTTTGTGCATATGTTTGTAACAGGCAAAAGGAAACGAGATAGACACATGGTTCCTTTTGAGAATATGCATAGAATCACTTTTTAAGTCGATTTATGCATGTCCGTCTGTCCGTCCGTCCATGTATTTTTGTTAACAAAGTACAGGTCGCATTTGTGATCCGATTTGGATGAAAATTGGCACAGTTCACTTATTTGGCCCAAGGACGAACCCTATTTCGTCCGATTTTAGGTAAATAGTGGACCAAAGTCCCTATATATCCTTCGATTTGCACGTAATTTGGCATTGCGTACTAAATTAAGTCTGGAGTGATGTGTGTTAAGTTTCGTGATAATCGGTTCTGATTTAGATATAGCTCCCATATATATAGTCATATACAGTGGTGGTCACAGAATTAAAACATTTACTGTGGTAAACATTTTTTGATCCGCCTTCGATTCGTTTGAAGTATTTTTGAAAATTTTTTAATTCAGAACACTTCGATATACTGCACTTAAGAGATTTAGTGAGAAAAAAGAAACTTTTTGCGTGCAATTTTTCCATAAATAACGGTTTTTATGAAAATGCATCGACTTTGAAGTGGCCAAATAATTAAAACATTGTGTGGAATTTTTTACTTTACTGTATTTTTTGAAAATATTTTTAGAAAATCTCTTTAATTTAGTTAAATTATGTAAACTAAGCACCGATAAAATCATTTCCAGATAAAATTTTTTGAAAAAATCTGTAAAATCTATCAAAATTGCCAACCATTTGTACAGTACAGCTTACATTCAGAAAATCACCCTTATTATAGAAAATAAATATCCGAATGCACCAGAAATTGCTAGAATTAGTTGAAAACAATAAATAATTCTCAAAATAAATAAATATTTCAAATAAAAACTCAAAAAATGGGAATTAACCTAAAGTATCGATGCAATTTCAATAGCCTTTCAACACAAGACTTCAAATATTTGTCAAACTGTAAAATTTTTACTTCCATGATACTAAAATAGATTAAGTGGAAGTTATTCGACTCAAAAAATATTATTTTGGAAAAATATTGTCATGTTCAATAGATTATAAGGGTCAAGAGTTGACCATCAAAAATACTGCTGTGTGCTTGAAACCTTTACTCGTCAACCTAGGCGTTGATCTCTTTTCGTTCTGTTCTGACAGATATATTTTATGATAAAATATATTCTGTACTACTCGAACAGTCGATTTGGTATAATAAATACCAATATCAATCGATTTTTTCTCACATACTGCAAAAATATTCCGGCCTTCTTCAGTAAAGGCTATTGAAATTGCATCGTTACTTTAGGTTAATTCCCATTTTTTGAGTTTTTATTTCAAATATTTATTTATTTTGAGAATTATTTATTGTTTTCAACTAATTCTAGCTATTTCTGGTGCATTCGGATATTTATTTTCTATAATAAGGGTGATTTTCTGAATGTAAGGTGTACTGTACCAATGGTTGGCAATTTTTATAGATTTTACAGATTTATTCAAAAAATTTTATCTAGAAATGATTTTATCGGTGCTTAGTTTACATAATTTAACTAAATTAAAAAGATTTTCTAAAAATATTTTCAAAAAATGCAGTAAAGTAAAAAATTACACACAATGTTTTAATTATATGGCCACTTCAAAGTCGATGTATTTTCATAAAAACCGTTATTTATGGAAAAATTGCACGCAAAAAGTTTCTTTTTTCACACTAAATCTCTTAAGTGCAGTATATCGAAGTGTTCTGAATTAAAAAATTTTCAAAAATACTTCAAACGAATCGAAGGCGGATCAAAAAATGTTTACCACAGTAAATGTTTTAATTCTGTGACCACCACTGTATATTCGTCCGATTTTATGTAAATAGGGCACCAAAGTCCCTACATATCCTTCGATTTGCACGAAATTTGGAGCCTATACCAAAAACTATACCGGAAATTATGAGGGAAGTTTCTTACCCTATGGGTAATACCGAATTAGAGGCAATTAAATGGATATTTTGTTACTACTTTCCAAGTACTTTATGATAAGGATGCTTAAACGCGCATAATAATGGAACAAATTGTTTTGAACTTATAAATACAAAACATATCCCATGTGATATCTGGGCCACTGACCGAAACTTGATCATGTCTTTAATAGGAAACAACACCAGGAATATTTTTGAGAAAATTGCCAATACATACACATATGATTTAGTAAAAACTAAAACGTCTATCAAAGTATTCAATACAGTTAAATGATGTTAGTAATTCGCTATATACGATTACAAATACGTCAACAAAATACGAAGGTATTTTTTAACATTTTCTTACATTCGGGAACAATACATTTAAATACGAATCCTACATGGAGACAATTCCGCATTGCATGCTGTTTGCGTTTAACTTATATGTGCCTCAAATGTATTTTTAAAGATGTGAAAGATGTTAGCATGGTGTATAGACTGGACCGATTTCACTCACGTTTTCCTTTGGGTGTTTGTAATTGCATTGGGAAGGTTTTTAAGAAGTAAATGTTGAGAAGAACATCAAAAAGTCGGGAAATTGGAATAATCGAACGTTGTGTTAGTTACATCGTTTATAACTCAAGAACGTTTGCACCGGTTTTGACAATACAAAGGGCTTAAAAATCGTTTGTGGTCAGAATAGGAAAATATGCAAACTAATTGTGAGGTTCCGCCAAAACAAATATATTAAGTAATATTTACAATTCTCCAATTTTTGTATCGAGCTTTAATGTTCAAATAAATTGTTGTTTTTTAGGACATGGTTTTTGAGTTAGTTAGATCAAAACATCTAATTTCATAAAATATTTGTATGTTCTAATACTAATAAGGCGAAAATGAACATCGACGATAATAATGGTAATGGACAACATCTTACGATTTAAAGTTAAGATATAAAACAGGCATTTACATTGGCCAACTTTTTCCCCTTAGCTGTCAAAAACTATATATAGAATATATACTGATTTCATATACAAATCAAAAGGACAGTTGGACATGAACAAAATGATATTGTAATTAAGAATCCTTCAAGAAGGGATAAATAAGATAATGTAAAAACGTTGGAGCAATAACAAAACATGATCTTCTATTGAAAAAACATTTGGTGGAATAATTTCTACAAAATTATCAAATTATGAACTGTGATGTGCTTGGACCTGCATTGTGGTTACCAGTTAATAATTTTTATTGGCATAAACTTAGTGGCAAATATTTTTTACCAACCTTATAATGATGCAATATTGATAAGGCAAAACAACATTTGCCGGGACAGCTAGTTTTAAATAAAATTTTAACTAAAACTAGTAAAATTACATATACTAAGCTTGAAAAACTAGGCGAGAGACTTTAATAAAGCAAAAATGTATCGATTTCTCTGTATGTATTTAAAAGCATTGACCTACTTTGAACATTTTCTGTGGATTAGTATTTGCAATGCCTAAAACGTGGAATGCAACATTGCAGATTTTTCGATTGTAAAATGCGGCCGTAAGCCTAATTAAATTAAATAAAAATAGCTAATGAAAACATACGTAGGCTTCTGGTTATTGCGACAGCAAAGCTTTAAAAAGTTAACTGAGAAGAGGACTGCATCCCTTTTATATCAATAAAACAAATCAGGGACCGTAACGGTTATAAGTTATATCAAATCAGGTAAACACAACTGTTATTTTGTGGCCTAAAAAAAATCCACTTTAATTATTTATTTTTTAACGGAAAAAATAAACGTTGACTTTTAACTGTTACAAATGATTGTTATTTTTTCTGTTAAAAATAAAACGCTTTTAGGGATTTTTATTTTTCCGTCAAAAATAAAACCCTTTTTGCGATTTTTCATTTTTTCCGTCAAAAATAAGTCTTTTTGGGATTTTTATTTTTTCCGTCAAAAATAAAAGTCTTTTTGGGATTTTTATTTTTTCCGTCAGAAAAAGGAATTCCAAACATTACTTGAGCTAAAGGTTTTACTTTTATTATAATTTCTTTATTCTCTATATTTAATGATTATTTTATCCTTAATGATGACATTATAACATATTTTTAAGTCATAATAAGGATATTTTCTATTAAAAAAATCGAAAGGAATGAGTCAAACTATAGATACTGTAGAAACGATTGATTTTAGATATTAACAAGTAAAAGCGTCGTTAAGATCGGCTGGGACGAACTTTTGATATCTACCACCACGTGATGTGTATTCAAAATTCCTTGAGTCGATCGGGACCGAATACTGAAAAATACCGAAATTTAGGATGTAGCGTTGAATGGGGGATTCCCTAAAAATTGGACCAATATTTATTATTTTTAGTAGGAAAATTTCATGCGCAATGACAAACAAACGTAGCAAATTACAGCAATTTCGGTTGAAAAACGTGTTAAAAATCCCCATAACACCAAAACGTGGACCGATATACCCCATTTACAATACCAACCACCTTAGGATTAATACCAATGCCAGTGCAAAAATTGCAAAATTTATCTCAAATATTGCAATCTACATTGTGACTTCAACAGAAAGACGAACACATATAAATCGAACACAAAGTAACATTTCCATATTGCAGACAATTTTCCAAATCATATCTTGCTGCAAGAAAAATTAGTTCTGAGATCGCATTGGCAATATTTCCATCATTGGATGCTGCGGAAGAAGATATCGCAGAATCAAAGGTACAACATTGACTACACGCAGAGAAAAAAAATATTTTTCACTATGGTTGCAGAAACCATAACTATTGTTGCCACAACTTTTGTATGTTTGTAGAAAACATGTGAATTGCATATTTGAAAATACTATGATCCCTGCAACCATAATTTCCAAAATTTAAATCGAATTTTCGTAATATGATAAAAATAATTTACAATACCAATGATCATGACAATCAACATCATTGTTAATTGTTAATAAATTTACAATACATTTTGTAGAATTTTAAAATAATATTGTAAATTGTATCCGCTTGTGAGCTGAGCGTGTCAAAACATGTTAGTTTGATTGGAGAGTTCGAAGAAGTAATACGTGCGTAAAATTTAAGAGTGATATACTAGTGAACATTTAAAAGTAAAATGTATATAAAAATATAATAAATATTAAAGAGTCATAAAATAATGACACATGCTATATATAAATATAATAAAAATAAAGTGAGTTTATTTCGCGTTCGCTTACAACAATTTATAATGCGATTTTTCTGAAAAAGAAAAGTAAAAGTTCTATCTAATGGCAAAAAATAACTAAAAGTACATATATGTAAATAACACATTGTGATACAATTACATTGAAAATGTATAAAACACGTGTTTTCAGAAAATTCAAGAACATATGCACTTTTTAATATATATTTGTTTAGTTCGAAAATACATATTTTCAATTTTAACAATATATATTTTTTCAATTTTAACAATATATGTTTTCAAATGAAAAATATATATTTTCAAACTTAACAATACATATTTTCAAATTTAACAATACATGTTTTTAATCCAAGATTATATATTGTAAAATTTTAAAATCTGTATTTTAAAATATTACAATAGCTTATTTTGGTTTGAAAATATGTATTGTTAAAGTTTACAATATTTTGTGTTGAGTGTTGTGATCTCGTTATTTTTCCGAGTATTTGTATTAGCTTCTGCATTCACTGCCTCTCGCTAGTTTTTGTTTGGCATTCAGAGAAGACGGATCACAAAAAAAGAAAAAATGAATTCACGTAAATTTTTGAAAACAACATTCCAAAACAAAAAAGAAATAGTTTCAGTGGTTTTTGATGGAAGCAATGACTACGATTTGTTTATAAATAAAGGAAAAAGATGTATAAAAAGTGTTAATATTGTGAAAGTTCTAATAAATCATGCAGTGACTAATAAAAATATTCAGTGAAAAACTCTACAAACAAATATCCTGAGCCAAAATGTGAATAGACGGTATGTATACGGTATAGACCTAAATACATAACAAGTTGTTTATATTCAGAGATTCTTTTTCAATTTGCAGATTCTTTTTCAATTTGCACAAAGGGTAAATTGTTTGACGCTTACAATTATAAGAGAACACAATTAAGTGCAGCAGGACTAATAAATAGACATGAAAACGTGAAAAAGAAATGTGAGTATGCATAAAAATAAGAATATTTATCTATTTTGAATAACAGTACGTTCTTTTAGCAAATCATACGCAATTGTCGGAAGATCACGAAACTGGTATAACAGCAGATGAATTGAAAATTCTTGAAACAACGAATGTAGATTGGAACAAAACAAGAGAACATTGGATTAAATGTCATTCCTATCGACTAAATGAATTACAAAATAACGAGTTGAGTACTATTGACTATATACAAAAATACAACATTCTTCTTAATGAGAACTTTCATGAATTGGTAAGTCTTTAAATTATTAATATTATGTAAATTTCGATTAATATTTTTATATACTTCTCACCATGGTATAATAATAGAAGGTAACAGCAAGTGTTGTTGTACAAAAAACGATACAACAACCACATTGAAATTTGTTGTTGTAAGTTCTACTAGTGTCAACTCATTTGACAGAAAAATGTAAACAAACAAACAAATTATCATCAAATTATTTTTGTTTTGAAAATGAAATATTTTTGAATCCTCAAAATAAAAATTGAAAAACATGAATGAAAATCTATAAAATGTATATTTCTATCGCTTCCACATCTTTCCTATAATTGAGCCATTGCCATATATATGTGTAACACATATGAAAATGCTGGGAATAGCGAGTTGTTCCTTGAAGAAAGATTTGCTTCCTCAAACTTTCCCAGCAGGCAGATTGAGTAAATTGAATACGGGAGGACATTTAATAAAGAACAAATTCGAATTGAATGCGTTCCCAATTTTCCTGTTGGGTGATTTTTAAAAACATAATTTGTCAAATTCATATTGACACTAGTATTACGTTGGAATCAAATCAGCTGGGGTTTGCTGTTACCTTTTATAATTGTACCATGACTTCTCACCTAGCTTCAAATCGATTTCAAAATACTATACGCAAACTCCAAAAGCATTTACCAATGGAAACTATTCTATGAAAAACTAATATCGAAAGCCGAACAATCAAAAGGGAATAGTGTTTTACAAATGTTACCGAATATCGACAGAACTGAGAACGAAGGTATGTATGAGTATAAGAATATGCTATATATAATCATCCACTAATTTTTTTACAATAGATTGCAGAATTTCTCTTTCGTTGATGATTATACCATTCATTCTACCACATTACAGGAAGAACAGCAAGTTAGAATCGCTGGAATCATTCATTACTGAAAGGTTGGTTCATATATATACTTTTATTCCACAATACTTGATATATTAATAAAAAATTTATCATCCTAACAGAATATGCAAGTGGCAGATGACGAAACAAGAAACAGAATAAAACGACTCCCGTAAAACGAAGCCTGCTTTTACTCTTTTATGAGTATGAATATTAAATACCCAACTACATGCCTACACGTATGGACATTTGTACAATATATTATTTATGAAATTAACACTCCATGGGATACGACAATACATGCTGTAAGTAGCTTAATCAATGAACTTCGTATGGAAATTCTGGAATAGATTTGTTTGTTAGTTTCGAAGAGAATTAATTTACGTTCGCCAAAAATAATTAATTATTTTATTATTATTTGATTATAAAAGACTTTTATATATAATTTTATATCATCTCATTTATTTATTTCAATTAATGCTTTAATTTGACATATGAGAAGGCATCAAAAACATATAACGTCAATATCTTGTTCTTTTCCTAATTGCCTGTAAAATAAAATAAAATTTGATTTATAAAACACTATCCAAGATATTCTTAATATGCATAATATTAAAAAGGTAGAGTATAACAAATGGTTTCAGCTAATATATATATATATATATTGTAATTTATTAAAATATATATTTTCAGGCCAAAAAAAACTTTTGATAAAATCTTACCAATCAAATGATTGAGACAAACATCTAAATGATTGCCACAAACATATATATTATAAATTTTTAATATATATATTTTCAGGCCAAATAAACGTTTGATAAAATTTTACTAATCAAATTTTTGTGACAAGCATATATATGGTTGCGGCAAACATATATATTGTACCTTTTTAAAAATATATATTTTCAGGCTAAAAGAACTTATGATAAAATCTTACCAATCAAATGATTTGGACAAACATGTAAATTGTTACGGAAAACATATATATTGTACCTTTTTAAAATATATATTTTCAGGCTAAAAGAACGTTTGATAAAATCTTACCAATCAAATGGTTGGGACAACCATGAAACTGGTTGGGGCAAACATTTATATTCATACAGTTGATACAGCGTAACCAAAAACATGTTTGCAGTGACAATATTACATAATAGAATCCAATCATATATTTACCATATATATTTTGCTCTTCGAATATTGTTGGCTGAACCATATTTTTTTCTCTGCGTGTATAGGATCAATAATAAAAATGATTAGTAAGCTGATTAATTCATTTGAAATTGTGAAATTTTTATATGGTATTAAGAGCGATAGTAGATGTGTAAATCCTTGACTCATTGCTCGAATTTTGCATATTTTTGTACAATATAAATATGTATATAGATTTTGATGAACCAAACGAGGCTTTAAAGCTAATTAATTATATATACAGGGATACGAGGTAACAGAATGTAACAGATGATTTTATAAAAAATAGGTGCTTAATGTTTATAATAATAAAATAATTAAAAAAAAAAAACAAATATATGTACATATGTGTTCGAAAATATTAAGTTTTTTCAGAATTTCGATTAAAGCATCCTATAAATGTCAGAATTTTGTTCAAACTTTCAATTAAAACTTTCGAAAGTATTCTGAGTTTTTTCCGAATGTCGGATCTAACGTTTGACATTCACACAGTTGTTTTTTCCGTTTTCTATACGAATTCGGCATCAGAATCGAAAACTTGTGCAGAGTCTCATTTCGGCAAAAATTGTTAGCTATGTAATTGTTTTAGAAATTACATACTGTAATATGATTTTACTACTCAATTTTTTAAATGTTTAATAAAAATCTACATGCCATTTCTGGAGAAACTAAATTAAGGCATGATTATATTTATATTGCACTAAAAACTGAGTTAAATTAAGGTATAACTCTCTATGTATTCCATTAGAAATAGAATGAAATTCAATTTAGTACATCAATTCACTCGCACATGCAAATAATTGATGAATTTAGTTACACATGTAACAAATCTTTGTAAATGTTTGCACAGGGACATTTTTATCTAAATGACGTGGTTTGTTTGCACAATTCCACCAAAAATAGAATAAAAAAGAAAACAACGAAATAGAAAATTGAATTGTCAGGATAACACCCCACACACACACTCAAGTACATGTGCATACGTGTGAGGAGGGTATAATCAATGTGTTACATTTTACAATTGCTTTCCTGTTCAAATTGTAGTTGCCGTCTAGAAACATATTCAAGTGTTATGGGTGTGTGTCAGTATGTAACATGCAAATAAACATCCATGGGTAAAAGATTTGAATACTAAAGTGTTAACTGACAGTGCCAAATCTCAGTTTTCTATTTTACCGAAATCACTTTACAACATCTGGCTATGGGAATGACTGTCGAAGATTTGATATCTTTGGTATAGACAGACAGACTCATATTGACAGCTGAGATAAATAATTTTAATATTTACCTTAGAGAATGTGTGGTAAGTGATTAAATTGACATTTGCTACATAAGCTTGATTTTAAGAAAAAAAAGACACAACGTGTACATGGTATGAAAATATACACATAAAAATTCCAATATGCACAGATATGTTTATAAATTCCATAATTGCAAAGAAATTGGTAAATAACGTTGATATTCTATTCACTTCTTACTGTATGAAACTAATTTTTTTCTTCACAGAAGGAATTGAAGGGAATTTATATATAAGCTGTTAAATTATGAATTGTAAAATTAATATACGACATATGTCAGTTAAATGTTGTGTGTATATGTTCATAATGAGAATAACACATTTATGTGATACAAATAAAATGACTGACATTGATTCCTCTTGATGATGTTGATGCCCACAACATAAGGAATTCTGGTCTAGCATTTAACACATATAGCATTTCAAAAGGATATTTCATAATGGATACAATGAAAATACACAGTGAGAAATTAATATACGAATATGTGTGACCCATTGTATCAAAGACATAAATCATATCAATGATATTGTTTCAAGAACATACAAGTATAAAAAGGTGGTCACTACGGCCAATATATAACCGGATACAATTCTATCTTTTAGGTTTAAAAATATTTTAAAATTTTCAGAAATAGAGATATTTGTATGAAATAATTCCTAATGATATTTAGAGTTTTTTTTTAACAATTCTTTCAACCGTATTGGTTGTAATTAGGGGAGGCTGTGCACATTTGGTAATGGCGTTTTCGATATAAAGCTCTCAATATCAAAATAAATAACTGTTGCAAATTTTGAAATCTCTAGCTAATAAGCTTATTTAGATGTACGATATAAAACTATAGAAAGTACCTTCGGGTCATATTAAAGTGGGGCACATTCGGCCATATACGGATAGTGCTATTAAAAATAATTCTTTAATAGGGCTCGAAATTATATATAAGATCAAACGTGCTTGTATTGATGAAAATGGAAGAGAAAAAATCTATTTCTGATGGTGTGTGTGTGTGTGGCCTTGAGACGTCAATGTCCGCCGCTAGAAAATTTAGCATTAAAAGTCAAACATTGAGTCTCATATTAAAACAAAATAGAACCTTTAGACGATCTGAATTTCAATCAGTCTTTTAGCGGTGATAATTACCAGGTTATGACTAATGGTACCGAATGTGTCTTCTTTTGTACAAAACTGTAAAATTTTTTAAGTAATACTAATTTATTATATGTTTTTGGTACTAGTTTTTATAATAAAGTGTCAGAGGACAATAAACAGCCATAAGGTTTATATATCTGTTGATATATATCTGTTGATATCTCTAAATATTTTTATATATTTTTGTTCTCAATGGGTGACATATTACTCTTACTAAAAATATCCAATATTAGTACATTATTAGGTCAAGTCTCCACATAACAGTATTTTTCTTTGAATGTACAGCTTATGGCGGAGGGTATAAAAATTTCGAACCGGCCGATTTTTACAATGTTTTCACCTGTTCATTATTGCACTGTGACAAAATGTTCATTATTGCACTGTGATCATTTTTTTTTTGCTGGCGACTCTGTTATACATAAAGAGATTGCTCAATATCTTGTAGCCAATGTAATTATTTTTAGTAATTACATTTCTTCAGTAAAATCGAATGAGGAATTTGTAGAACATTTCGTCCTTCTAACTGGATTCCCAGCATGATATTTTCGTCTTTAATTTATTGATCGCAAAGTTCTAAACAACATTTGCTCATAAGATTTTAGGTGATGTCCTCAATGAAGTGAAATCGATATTTTCATGTTTTAGTTTTATTTTCTCAATTCTACAAGTGTTATGTTACTAAAACCCTGTATGCATGTATGTATTTCTAGATATTCAGTAAAATTTCTATTTTGAAGAAGGTTGGATTCATCCGAAATATTTATTAAAAACATTTATAGCTAAACAAAATTAGCAAAAACAAAAAAATATACATATATAAAAAAAAAAACAAATATTGTTTCCTGAGGTGAATATTTACGCCACAAAATAAAAATTTGGCCACTTTAGGTTTTGGTTGATTTGACCCTCGAAATATTGACCGATCATCATCTAAACAGTTCTAAGTATTTGGTCAAATCCCCTTTACTGTGTAAAATATGTGACAAAAATAATGTTTTCGGCTCATTGCACCTCCTAAGATCATCTCAACATCACAGAGAATTATAGGCGACATTGACCATAGCCGGAACTAGTCGAGATATGGCGATCGGTAAACTTAAACATAGTTGTGTAGGGTATAAAAACTAATTTCGAGGAAGAAAAACCCGTTTTTTTAAATTTTTGAACTAGATATTTAGATAAGAAAACCGGCTTTGATACCTTATATGCCTTAGAAACCCCA